AATTTTTCCTTACTGAGTTGAATTTTAGAGACTAGAAAAGCACGGTAACTGTTATTTCACCACCACTGCCTTATTTTTATTGGTATACTGAGATGGTTATTTTTACTTTTAACCTAAGCCTCAACGCAATAAAATATTCGTGAATTAAAAACTACTTCATTTTAATATTTAAAATTTTGGAAAAAAAAAAGACAACTTTTCTTTACAGTGCCACATAACACATGTATTACGATAATTTTGTTCTGTTATTCACCGCTTATGTAAACTGATGAAAAATATTTAAATTTCGGATTGTTAGAGCAGGTATTCATTTATAATCCAGTTAGATATTTAAATTTATACATTCGATGCAAAAGTACGTGCCGCTTAACAAGTTTCTTTGACGTAATCGTATCCGAATCTTGTCGGAGAGAATTAACGCAATTTGCGTTATTTGTAAATAAATCGTATTCCTAAATTTACCAGTTAAAAAGACCATTGATTAAAATATACCTACATCAAATTTAATTATTTTTTAGAAAATATGAATTTTTACAAAAATTCTTAAAATTATTGTATCTAATATTTTTTGGTAATTGTATCCAATGTTTGAAATAACGACTTTTTAATAACGACGATTGGCTTGCAATCCCGTAACTCCCCCGATAATAATTTAATCATCCTTCGTTAGATAACTAACGGTGAAGCTTCTTTTATATTGCATAATTATTTTTGTAACATCTTAAGCTCTGCTTAGGACATCTTGACACAAAAATTTAAATAAAAACCCTCCAAACGGAGTGGGTCTTTCTTAAGAGCTCTCGTCGATAACTAAAGCTATTCTGTGTTTTTATTATTTTCATTTTATCTTCTGCTTTTCCGGATATCAATTTCACTATAGTAGGGTTACGCAGCAGCTTCCGAGGAAGTATCATGGCATCACAGAATACCAACGTGAACTAAAAGTATTACACTTTGCCTTGCATCTGATGAGTTAATAACAGGTGTTTTAAAAAGTTGACAACGCATCTGCATATTCATCATAATCACTTAACATTACGTGAACCGTTCACTTGTCAGATCTTCGCACAAAAAAGTTCGCATATTACACTAAAATATTAACTGAAGAATAGCCGTTTCTAATTAAAATTAATTAGGTTGTATTATCGCGAGTAGTATCTAGACAGTCAAAAACAATCTAAAGAGCCTACTCCAATTAGCAGCTCTGTGACAGATGGTCGAAGGAGCAGAGGTTGCTAGGTTTATTGTTCCATGTTAGTGGGGCGAGGCGATGCCATTACATTATCACCGACCTCAATTTACTACTGTTTTATATTCGCACAGACAAAATTCGGGTCGAACAATCCTGGAATGGAGTAAAATGAAACGCATAAAACCTGTCTGATTTTTCCTGCTTGGAAAAGGAAAGTAAATTACGGAACTCGAGCGTGCATCCAAAATGGAATCTAGTAAGGAATGGAGCTGGTTGGACTAAAGCAGTTTTTGTTGGTTAAGAACAACTCTCACTGCCAAAGAAATTGATGTTTGCCTTCCTATTATTCCCCTCTTTTTTTCTCTCTTACCGTTGGATAACATTATTCTGTGTTTTACAACATAAATTGGACAAACACCAAGGAGAAGCACACAAATAGATGTCCCGTGTGGGATTCGAACCCAAGACCCTCGGTGCCGAAGCCAATGCCACAACAGTGCAACGGAGTCATCCGATTCGAATAAGATTTGTCAAGGGAATATAACGTTTAAAAATTAAATCAAGTTTTACGTCCTAGCTCCTTCCATTAGTCTGTACCCAACAACACTTTGGCTTTGCGAAGAGATGTTTTATCTTTTTGCATATTCTATCGCATTTATCATGGGGAGTACTCCAAGAAATTGTCTGGATTAATTCGCCACCGCACAACGCTTCAAACCGCCAAATGCCATCGACACCACTTTGATTGTTTGGCAGTCCACAACTATGTGGTTTTCGATTTTCCGCCAAGCACAATCAAATTGCGGAATGAGTAGTCGGCAGTAATATTTCCAGACCGACATGATTTGCGGACCTTCAAGAAAAGGCCATCAAAGCATTTACAGCGCCTCTGGTGTAGATTTGAGGTCCATGCGCAGAGGCGATCACTTATAATCAGGTCAGGTTGCTCGTTCGCTGCCTTATGTTCTACGTTAAAAAACTTCAATAACCGATTCTAAACGAACTAGATCAAAAAATGTAATGCATATGTGTCCTACGCATATCTTTGTTGAAATACGAGCCCGATTTTTTTCTAACGTTACATATTTTATAACTAGGACGGATATATATTGTCAAGTGGTATAGAGATACTTAATTTCCCGCAGCAATCCATTTCCTGTACTTAACTCAAAGTTTAAACTAAGAATACATTCACGTTTTATGTCAAATTAACAACTTTTTTAAGTAATTTTATTCTCGTTAGCCAAAGTTTTTGCTTCGTAAATCTTGCATACTTTTTTAATGCAGTTCAGCATAATCCGATTTTGCGAAATGTAAATCGCATTCGGTTAACGTACATAACTCGTTTAGTTGCAACATTACATTGTTTTTCGGGTAAATATTTGTAAAATTGTAAAGAGCCTGACAAAGCAGACTAGGCGATTGAGCCAATGTTACGGAACCCTCGACGCTCCACATTGTCTGTTTTCAGATTAGAAGCTGACACACATACTTCAGCTTGACATGTCGTGGCGAGACAATGCAATTTGTAAGCAAAGCTCTGCTTTACACAGCGCTACACGTTTTTGCCAGTGAGTGCACTTCAATGGCGGATAGTTTGTCGCGGTATACCATTTTGAATAGAATGTTGACACCGCACCGAGTATAATTTTACTTTGGTTCACAATAGCCCCATTAGGTACTGTGAGGTTATCCTAGAAGGATGTACTTATATTGTTTGCTTTATTTCCTGCGATTACAGATATCAAAGCTATGGTGTACCGTTTACGGATAGCGGGGCTACCGCTCATACTCTGTGAAAATAAAAATGCACCTGACAGAATATTTAAAAATAATATTTTTTTAAAATTATTGAACAATTTTATAGGTGACTAAGTTATATAATTAAGCTTAAAACGTTAAACTTACGCTTAAAAAGCTTGCAAGATTTTTTATTTATTTATTTAAAAATTTATTGTTTACACCCCAAACTAAGGCCAAACAAAAGTCAAACTTAATGCTAATAAGCATTCTCTTCCAGTCAACCCTGGGAGTAGTGAAAAATTTGATGTAGGTGCAAAACAAAATCCAAAATTCTATTTTGAAAAGATAAAATAACAACAAACATATTTCATAAATGCAAACATGCATACTATAAACGATTAAGTACATATATATTCCCATACCTACATAAACACTATATAAAATAAATATATATATATAAGTAAATACGTACATATATATATATATACAGATGCTTACGTAAATACAGAGGATAACGTAACTCTAACAATCGGTAGAATTGGCATAGTGACATCGCAGCATTTTCTTAAATGATGCTTTACTTGTTGCATTTCTAATGTACTGAGGCAAGGAGTTCCAAAGTAGTATAGCCTGAATAGTAAAAGATTTATGGAAGAAGCCGGAATGATGCGTCGGAGTACAAAGTATTCTAGTGACAGAAGAGCGAAGTGCTCTATCGTGAGTTAGTGAGATAGAGTTAGAGAGTTAAGAGTTACCATTACTAAGCTACGAAATAATTAAATGAAGTCATCGATTTATGATAACTCTTGTAAAAGTACTATGGTTTTAAAAATAACAGTACAATGTTATAACACTGTAGAACTGAACTGAATTGAATTGCAAATTATTAGATACTGCAAAGACGCGTCAAGGATGGCTCGTTTAAATATTCCTTAAAAATATTTTATGTAATGTGCCAGATAGAATCATTATTTCCAATTACCTATAGGATAAATATTTTTTTTCAAATGTCAAAATTTTTGTGATTCATTTCGAAATCTTCGAATATGGTGTATATACTTGAAAATATATTATATTTATAGTAAATCTTACACATATTTAAATTATCACGATGCTTTCCCAATTACTGACGGATTTACATTAACAATAAAGAATGTTCTGATAATAACTGCAACTAGTGTATGAGGTCATCATAATAAAAGTTTTTACTGTGTAATAATAAGTCGGATGGAAGGTAATAAGATATCCATTAGCAGCAATGATGACACTAAGAGCCTGGCGAAAGTGCAGACATTCGAATATATAAAACATTTGCATTCAGTGTACAGAGACACTTTCTTTATGAAACTAAATAACTACTTACGTAACGGTCCTTCTCACCTATACCATGCTTATAGTTTATAACGTTTGTGGTCTAAAGTTTGGCCGTGATGTTGTAGGCCCCAGGCAGTGTTATTTAGGTGAGTTTATTAAGAGTCCACGCACATATGGCAGCACAGTTAGCCAATGTATCGCTTAAAATGCTATGTCATATCTGGAATACATTATTTTCATAAAAATCTAATGAAACGTTTCTTTTATTCACAAAAAATATTATCGTTTAGTTTACAGAATACTATCAACATTGAATGGAAAGTAATATTTTTCCGTTACGAAATATCGTAACATGATATTTTCTAAAATACTAGGTTCCTGCGGCTAACAAAAAATAGAGTTCTATGTCAATAAAGCTAGGGATTTATTGACATAGAACTCTATTTTTCGTTTCTCGTTTCGTACAATAAGTTATATAATAAACATTATATTTGTAATTTGTGTTTATGTTGTAATTAGTTAGCAAACGGATTTACATTAATTTTTTTCATCCATCTTCAATTTGGAAGCGAAGAACCGCTATTGCGTAAACTTCGACAAACCAAATCGACTTCACTGTTATTACTTTGCCACAAGGTGCCAAATATAATCGAGGAGGCAGTGTTTAGTACACTACAATACTACGCCGAGGTTATACACTATGAGAAATTCACAAGTAAAAGTAGATAAATAAACTCGTTATAATTTCCAGATTCGACGAAGGGCGTGACGGTTTCCTTGATTTGACGGAAGTTAAGCGAATGATGGAGCGACTGGGCGCCCCACAGACTCACTTGGGCCTAAAAGCTATGATAGCGGAAGTCGACGAAGACGGAGATAACAAAATCAGTTTCAGAGAATTCTTGTTAATATACCGGTGAGTTGTTTATTTACTGCCACGGTCCGATAGCGAATAAGTAGTAGGTCTGTGTAAGTTGAGGGTGAAAAAAATAATGAGTAAACCATAATTCCTTTTTTTATTATCTAAACAGGGAATCATTTTTATGTCATGTGGGTTTCCTATTTTTAAAGACACGTAGTACACCTGTATACGTCGTACTTTGGTAGGGTCACGAAACAGTATTCGCTGTTGCACGAATGGGCAGGTCCGTCCAAAAAGGTATTACGACTACATAGAAGACCGGCGTGAAATAGAAGTGTTATACATCTGGGTTTCGTCTGGTGACTGAAGTAACTGGGTCCGTCATTAAAAGATGGCAATGCATCTGTAACCCCACAGGTGTTGCATATGTCCGGCGGTTATCACTTAACTTCAGGCCAACCGCCCGCTCGCTAGGCATCTTACATAAAGAAACAGATTTATTTATTGTTTGTTTATATTCAGTTTTGTCCAATCGAACCCATAGCGGCGTGCGATAGCTATTAGCGAGGTGATGTACAGCATTGCGCCATACGTGCAATCTATAACCGTAAATATAAATCACATTTAAAAGTGTAAGGACTACAGTGGCAGTGGCCTTGAAAATTTTAATCATGTGTTGATTCGTGATCATCAGTTCATAAAATTAAGACGATTTTCCTTATTATAACAACTGTAGAAACTGTTTCCTTCGCAAATGGTCTTGAGATCGTAATAAACATCAATTGTAGCCAATGTATAAGTGTTATTGTATTGCAAGAACATAGTGAATTATTGGTGCTAGGGTATTGTTTTTAGATGTAATCAAAAAAGTATTTTATTTTACAAATTGGAGGCTTTTTCATTTTATTAATGAATTATGTTATTAATTTAGGATACATTTTTTCAACAGTAATATTGACGACTTGTACAATATATGTACCTATAAACAATATGAGTCAATTATAATTATTAATTTTCTACGATTTTGTTGTAAAAAATTACTAGGCAAATTTTGAAACATTTTCACAATTTTTAACTAAATTCATAATTATTTAGATATCACAACATTCAATAGCGGTTAAACACATCACGACTTTCGAAAACGTATTCGTTGGGTTCCTCTTTATGGTGCGGAAGGCAAAACAAGTTCATTGGCAGAGTTGATTTCACGCATATCATATAGGTACACAATTATATTTATAAATATGGAATTGAATGTCTACATATTAGTTTTTTCATACAGAATTCAAATTCCCTGACGGCATTAATGAGGTTTTAAATATAATTTTAGTGTGTACTTAACAATTTACGAAGCTACAGACATTTAAAAAAAATCCGAAGTCTTCCAACAGAGAAAGCAAATCATCATCGTCATAATTTAAGCCTGATTGAGTCCACTGCAGGTCTCAAATTAAATAGACCACAGACTGCTTGAGGATAAGACTTACTTTTATACTAATTTTTAAAAATACTACAAAAACCTTTGAGCTAAGTCGATAACCTTTGTTCTGCGGATGTCTTCGTTGCGAACTCTATCAAGCAGAGAAATACGGAGCATAATGAAGTTGACGATGGGCCGGCCTTATAGCTCGTAAAACCGATAACTGTTGGGGAAGAAAGGTTCTCGAATGGCAGCCTCGTACTGGCCATCGCAGTGTTGGACTATCCCCCCAATAGATGCAGTGACGACCTATGCAAGAGTGCAGAAGTCGATGAAGGCTGGTGGCTCAGGATCGTGCTTCGTGGTAGTCTGTGGGGGAGGCCTATGTTCAGCAGTGGACTCAAACTGGTTGAAATGATGATGTTGATGTCTATACAGGGTGGCTTTTCTATGTGTATCCATTTTTTTTATTAAATTCTAGACATAAATAATGAATTATATAAAATGATAAACATTTAAAATCACTCGTAAGTAATTGATTACATTCATTTGAACTTCTCAAAAAGTGCGTGATTTATACGCAACTCGTTTATTTTACGCGCGATCATTCATAACTAACACGTACACAAGTTCGTGCATAGTAAAATTTAGGTATTTATGAATGACTACCGCATTGTCAACAAGTTCTGTTTTTAGGGAATAGAATGGCATTTTTTTTGGAAAAAACAAACTTTGTTTTTTATTTCAATTACCAATTATACCACGGAGTCTGAACGTCCTGTGTTTGGGCACTTCTCAAAAAATCTCCCTGTAAAAAAAATTCTTCGATGTTATAAAAAATCATACAACTTTAAATATCACATCCTTACCCGTTTAAAGAACTGAATTTCTGTAGAATTATATCAAATGTGAGTTTTTTAGGAAAGCGCGTCTAGGCGAACTAGAAATGGATTCTGGTTTGGAAGCCCTGGCTCGGCTAACGGAAATCAATGTCGACCAAGTAGGTGTGAACGGCGCCAAGAATTTCTTTGAGGCCAAGATAGAGGAGCTTGCAAAAAAAAATAAATTCCATGACGAAATCGTGCAAGAACAAGAGGAAAAGCGTCGCGAAGCAGAGGAGAAGGCACTACGAAGGCAAAGGTTTAAAGAGAAGACCGCAATCTTTCAACATTAATTATAATAAGTGTCCTATGTATCTAGTCTGTAAGCTGTTACCATATGGCATTATAAAAACCTTTCTCGAGAATTCAACAACATGATCCAAAAACTTACTTATTTCAAATCTTGCATTAAAAACTTTTAAGAGGTGAATATGCCAAGATGGGCAATGTTTATAATGATTTAAGCAATTTATTAAAATAATGTCTTGAATATAAAATTGAGGTGGAAAATATTTGTCATCATTAGTTATAGGTTTATAGTTGGTTATTATTTTAGGATCTGTATGTAATTATGTTTTTATTGAATATATGTTTTAGTTATCTAATAAAAAAGGGGCAAAGTGGCTGTAGATACAGCTATGCTAATAAAAACTAAAACAATGTTTTTAAATGTATTCAGATGTCAATTATTAAGCATTAATGCTATAACATTTCATAATATATCGCTATATCTTTATTTCAAAGTAGTGTTGTGTATAAACTATTAAATTAAGTGACATTTATGCTATAACAATTCTGACTATACATGTTATATTTCGGCAGGGCTACTTTATATTTATCCTAGCATCTTGCTCATAAATAAGAAATGAAAAAATTCATAAACTAATCCTCTACAGGCAACTGCCTAAACTAGATAAAGGCATACTGCCTTTATCTAGTTAGCATCTGAAAGTGGCTCAAGAGTAAAGTAGAGTGGAGAAAGTCCTTTGGTTTGGTCAAATAATATTTTACAGTTCAACAACATGTAAAATATTATTTGACACTTTTACATTACTGAGGATGATAGATATCTAAATCCTGCTTTCACATGTCAGATTAGATTTATCTATCACAGAATAGATTTATCGTACCTTTAGAATTAATGAGATGTCATTAAAAAAATCATGATTTAGACTTTATGGTCAGGGCACAACCTAAAACAACCACCTTTTTTGACTCTTATTAAAACAGGGGCCATTTCTGGTGTAGAAAGCTACATAACATATACTTTGGTCTTTTTAACTCCCTTACAATCACTGTATTTGTTCATAAGTGCACAAACCTTTATTTTACATTTCCTAAAAATTTTTATTTTTCAAATAGGTCACTATAATTTTAAAGGTGCGTCATAAGTCTAAATTTATTCACAAATTTGTTTCTGAAGAACTGATTTTGATTTTGAATGTTTATGTACTTTGATAATGTTAATTGAAATTTAATACAACTTTCTCTTTATACTATTTATTGCAACATGAAATTATCTAGCATGTTGAATATGTTACATATAATATTTTAATTTTGTTGAATGTGATGTAACTGTGTTAAGTAGTTAAAAGATATATAAATAAAACTTATGAAATATGTATATTATGTTTATTTTACCTTAGGGAAATATTATTAAATTACTTAATTCAAGATATTATTCTTCAATCATCTTACTATGACTATTACAAATTCCTTCAGTCTCTGGTAATTTCTTTAAATCAATCTGTTGTGTATTGGCTAATTTTTCAACAAGTGTAGCATTCTGAAACAGTATAATGAGTGAAGTATTTTGTTGAGTTGAGTTTTATTTTATAATATTTTGATTTCCCCCATAAAGTGATTAATTAAACTATGAGAGATAACAGACTCAAAATTCCCTGATTTTTGGAGCAAATTTAATAAACTATGACTTCAAATGTTTGTCTACACTGAATGGAATTTAAAATTAAAATTTTGGAGTAATTTTAATTAGTATTTCGCTAAAATGCTAACATTAGAATGTCATAATATGTCATCTCTATAAAAGTAAAATGTTTCTAATGTTTATTCAATAACAAAATACAAGCAGTAATGTAAGTGACAACCAGAATTCATGTACATCCACAATGCCACTAGCTGTTGCAGTCACAGATCATGAATCTAATAATTTAAACAAGAGAATACAATTAAAGGAATAATGCTTGTTAAATTTTGCCTTATTAATAAACCCTTTTCACTAAACATCTTTAATTAAACATTAAGTGTTCAACCGACACTACCTGCACAATACTTCTTTCAATCTCTCCACCACAGGCAGTGATCTGTTTAATTTTCTGTAGTTCGATGGATCTGAAAATAAAAAAGAAATATATTGCATCGAAACAATGTATTCTCGTCATTAATAACATGAATATCAACATTTTTAATATCCAAACTCGATACAGTACAATATTTTAAGACATATTAATAATAATAAATAAATACATAAGTCTCAAAAGCTGATTAGATGATGTTAGTTCATTTTGCAATTCTTGCTGCAATTGTTGAATTTGTTGTTGTTGTTGTTGCATGATTTGTCCATTTACCGACATCACAAATTATTTATCACTATTATTTAGATATTTACACGTTCGCCAAAAAAATTATTATCTAGTGGCTAATTCAAATAAAAAGTATTAAATGAGAGTACTAAGAAATAATTAGTAATCGAGAAATCGAAACTAAACATTTTATGTTGCTAATTATAGAGAATATAACCACTACGTTTAACTGTTGCACTTTTAAAATTGGATTCAGATATACAAAAGTACTCTTTGATTGGATTCCAAATCCAAAGAGAATATAACCATTAACCACTATGTTTATTGGACGTTGATTGGATGATTGGATTGAACGATTGGACGTTTGTACAGCGTTGTTTGAAGTTTATACAGCGTTACTAACTCTCAAAAAATGTTTGTCCCTAGAGCGTAAGTCACAAATCCCAACCAATATTAATTTGTTTCCTAATTCCAAAAACGAGATTAATAAATGATTGAAATTTTTTTATCCTTGACGGACACTTTTTCTATCTCTTTACTCTCCAATCTCCATAGTTCAACTTCGCATTCTTTGTATAAACGGTTTCATTTGTTGTATCAGATGTCGCTAAGCTACTAGATCAACAAATAAACATGATTGGATGGTAGATTGCGTTACTCCAGGCCCTTTATATTTCTTAATAGAAAAATACCAAGAAACATAAGGAATTTTAAGAAATATAACGTAGGAAAAACTAGAAGAAGTCACAAAAAAATTAAACCTAAAAATAACACTAAAATATAACGCCCCCTAAAAATATCCCAATACGTTTTTTTACTCTAAATTTGGGGGGAAAACCCCTAAGTTGACAACCCTGAGTTTGTAATTTTTTTTTTTTTTTTTTTTATGGGAAAAAAAGCAGCAAACGAGCAGGAGGCTCACCTGATGATAAGTGATCACCGCCGCCCATGGACATCTGCAACACCCGAGGGCTTACAAATGCGTTGCCGGCCTTTTAGGAATGAGTACGCTCTCTTCTTGAAGGTACACGGGTAATTATTTGAATTAAACTTCAGAGACAATAATATTTATTTTACAGACAAAAAGATAATTAAATTGTACCAAAATATCATCTTGAATAGCCTATTACCTAAAAGAAAAGAATTACATGGTTGGCACTTACAATGGTTAATGGCTATGATATAATATACAAATATGAGGCGAGGTAAATGTGACACTTTACACCAACTGGTGTAATTAGATTGTAATTCCATATACTGCTATCTCTTTCCGTTTCATTCGTTCTATGTCAAAACTACTCGTATCGAACCAATAGGTTAAACGTACTCGTAACATTTATTTCTGTCAGTCTGATTCGATTCGAAATGATTCGATACTAAGTACTTTCATGGAGATTCTGCTTGTCAATGTGTTGAAGTAAAGACGTTGAGTGATTTTCGATTTAAATCTCAATCCCTTTGAGTTGAATACCTAAAATTGTTTTTTTTGTGATTGTTTGGTCGTGGTTTCTGTGGTATTGGTTAGTGTTTTTAAGTTTATGTTCCACCCCAATTCCCCATGAGAATTGGGCGAAGACAAACCACCGGATGGGGGAGGAGGTCACCCTCCCGATAATAAGATGTATACTAGTGACTCCATCGTCACATCTCAGCCAAATTTTAATACTAACCGTAAGCGACCAAAAAAGTCTTTCCACCCTCGACCTCTTATCAATCGATATACTTCAAAAAAGGTTACGAAAGTGACTCCAAACTAGGTTACAGCGACTATGACAAATCTCCATTCATTGTACACGTCACCAAATCTGAACCTGACTTGTCATCTGGCCTGCCAAGCAAGCTACTGAAATTTGCACAACTTATACACAAAAACAAAAGCAGAAGGAGGCATAAATAGACTGGGGAGAAACAAGTTTTCAATTGAATTTAAATCTTACTCTAAGAAATAAATCTCTTGCTAATAAATTCCTGTCTAATGATTTTCTACCTACAAATAATTTGATTGCTGTTATTGCAAGATTCCATATTACTCGCATGGGAGTGTTCAAAAGTATTTCTACTGTCTGGACACTTGAAGAATTGGTAGAGAACATTAAGACCCTCCAATTGCGGAGAAGTTAGAAAAGTAAGAACAGATGATCAAATTACCTGGGTTCCATCTACCGCTGTTGTCCTTACATTTTTGGCTAAACTCTTCCTGAAAGAGTATACTGCTATCAATCATCCCTTCCAGTCTCCACATATCAACCTACCATTCAGTGCAGAAATTGTTGTAGATTTGGACACATTGGGTCTCAGTACAGATCTAAACCAAGATGCTATCGTTGTGGGCAGAGTCACACTAGAGATAACTGTACTTTCAGTGAAATCAATTCCTCTTGCATATTGTGCAATGGACATCATAGGGCAACTGATTCAAAATGCCCTGAGTAGTGACTCTAGACAAAAGTCCATTAAAATTGTGATGTCCCAGGACAATATAAGTTATTCAGAGGCCACTCTCCGATTTCCTCCTTCCAGACATCCCTATGCTGACATGGCCAGCTATTCCCCTCAACATCATGATCAGATTCAAAAATCCCAACAATCCTAATCATTTAAATTATTTCAGCAAACTACCTATCCCCTACTTTCTTCTTCACAATCCAACTATCAGACCTCTTACTCCAAAACTCTGTCTAAATCTCCACGTCCTGTAACTTCGGAGGAATGATGGTAAGGCAGGTTGTGCCCTTATAGTTTCAAGATCCATCACCATCACACAAATCCAAATTCCTAACCACAATCCTGATCTTCACATAGTGGCAATAAAATCTCAAAATATTTCTTGTTATATCCCTCACCCTAATAGCATTGTCATTTCTGAATTAAGTAATATTCTTTCCACTATCCCTGGCCCTCTCCTTGCTTCTGGCTTGCTTTTGTGGATTTAGTTAATAATAATAAACTGGCAACATTATAGGAGTTTGACTTTGACGCAGTTCCAGAACATTCTTCAGGTGTGAGATCAGAGAAGCAAGTACTTGGTTACAATGTATACTTAAAATGTGAATCTCAGTAAAATGTGAATTATAATAAAATCATCTAATATGATTAATAACCATATTGTTTAATTTATAACTAAACACTGGAGACTTCAATTGCCACCATCATATGTGGGGGTCCCAATATATAGACACTGCTTCTTCCTTCCTTTTAGATTTATTAGATGATAATAATCTTAAACCTAAAAATACACGAAGAACCCCACCTGGGAAAAACACCAATGCCCCTGATTTAACCCTTTCATCCCCTTCCCTAGTTAATTCTCTTTCTTGGTCTATTTTACCTAATTCTCATGGCAGTGATCATTTCCTCATCATAATGCAATCTCTTCAAAATTTTTCCTCCCTTCCTACTATGCCCCCTTTACAACGATTTAGACTTTCTGATGCTGACTGGAATATTTTTTTTATTAACTTAGATTTTAAAATGCTCCGTCTCCCTCCTCTCAACTCATCTAATTCTTTGGCTTTCCGTGGGCGCATCCCCTCTCCTCCTTGGTGGGATTCTGAGTGTACCGCTGCTAATAGAGCTAGGAAAAATGCTGAGAAAAAATATGCTTGCAATCTAAACATGGAGAACTACCTTGACTTTAAGAAATCCTGTGCTAAAACTAAAAGTTTTTAGCTAAAAAGAAATCTCAAGGTTGGCGTAGGTACTGTGAGTCCTTCGGAGGTCTATCGCTCAGTCGCTGAGGCGAAGGGGTGCGGCGATAACGTTTCCATCGAACGAATCGCAAGATTGCGACGCCAGGCGCGCGTCATTCTGATGCGCACCATACGGCGTGATCCTTCTGTGAGACGACTGTCTCCGAAAGCCGCTGAAAGGGAGAGGGAGGAGGATGCTTCTTCCGACCCGATCCGGCGTCGTCGCATGGGAAGAAGGCGGGCGGCACAAGAGCGCCGTCTCCCGCCCTAATGGGCCTCCGGGTGACAGATGTGGGGATGTCTGTCACCTAACGGTATGAGGCCCCGCAAAGGCAAAGTGCCCACTGGTGTCATGGGCACTCATGCGGAGGACGGGGAAAAAAGTCCTTTCGTGGTGTGCCCCGGCCCTGTAGGGTCGGGGTAGCCGTGGCTGGGTTGCAGCAGAATCGCTTTAGCGGGCCCTGCAACTCAGCATTTGACGGCAGAGGAGGACGCCCGATGGGTTTTACTTAGTAGGTCTGCCCTTTTCAGGGTGGGAGTCCAACATAACTCTTCTTGCTTCCCCCGCAGGAGAGTATGCATGATGCATTTCCCATCGTTAAAAAAAAGGTACTGTGAGTCATTGTCTCCCCGTACTTCCATTTCTATTGTATGTCGAAAAATTACCAATTTTCGGTGAATTTTCATTGATCGTAATACCTCTTCCAATGATCCTTATACTTCGTTAAATAATTTTGTAAAAATACTAGCCTCTCCTTTTGCTCCTTATTATAACTGCTTACCCATTCCCTACATCCCTTCTTCTGTACCTGATAGAATAAAGGACATTTTCTCCTATTCTTAACTTTGTTGTGCTCTTGACAACCTCAAAGATTCCTCTACAGGTGTAGAAGGTATTCCTTATTCTTTTATACTTAAATCTTCATGCTCTTCAAAATTATTTTTTCTCAATATTATAAATGAAATCTTTTCTTCTGGGTGCGTCACAAAAATTCTAATAATCCTACATCCTATCGACCCATTGCCTTATCCTCAGTATTACTAATTTTAAACACCTAACAAAAAATAGACTTAAGTGGATTCTCGAAAACAGAGGTGTATTGTCAAGTAACCAATACGGATTCAAGCGTGGCGTGAGCACAATGGACAGTCTTAACGTATTCACATCCGAAATTAGGCTTGCATTCTCTCGCAATAAACATGTCATTGTAGTCTCCCTTGACATCTCCTCTGCATGTGATAATGTCCAGCTTCTAATACTCAGGCAGAAAATGCTTAAACTGAGTATTCCTGTGAGACTGGTTAATATAATGTTTAATTTATTCTCATGTCGCGCTATATGTCTTCGCTCTTTTGGTTCTATCCTTCCCCCACGTCTTGTCTGGAGAGGTCTTCCCCAGGGTTCAGCTCTAAGTCCCCTATTATATAACCTGTATACTTCCGACCTTGACACGACCGTTAACTCCTTTTGTAAAATTATTCAATATGCAGATGACATTACCCTCTACAATACTTGTTCCTCTCTTTCAGAAGGATGTTCACATTTAAACACTGCTTTACAGTACTTAAATATTTGGCTTTCAGATCACAGTCTAAATTTATCCATTCCTAAATGTCATGCTGTTACTTTTACTCGAAAACGTAATATTCCCTCATTAAGTTTCTTGGTGGAGGGTGACCGTATCCAGTTTCAAAATCGAATATAATTTTTGGGGGTGATACTAGACTCAAAGATGCCTGGTAGATACCATTTACAGTATGTATATAATAAGTGTGAAAAAGTACAAACAGCATAATAGCTTTATCCGGAGTTCGTTGGGAGTCATCCTCATCCCTTCTCCCAGAAATTACTATATAATGCAATTGTACGTAGTCATTTTGACTATGGTAGCTTCATACTGGAACCATGTAAATAAAACTCCCCCATTGCTGGTTAATAGCCTCAATGCGTATAAAAACCTTTCATCACCTATCCTTCAATTAGAAAACCACCCTCTTTACACAAACTAGCTATGATGCTCTTATTTTCCAACTAAAAATCATTTTAAACCTAGGGGTAAATAAAAGTTCAATAGATGCCAATACCCATTTTAAAACAATAATAAATAATGAATGGGAGGACTGGGTTCTGATATTTAGAGATACTTCCAAATTAGACAATTCCCATGTAGCTGCCTCAGTCTTCATTCCAAAATATAATGTTGTTTTAAGCTTTAAATGTCCCATGGAATGCTCTGTTTTCACTGGCGAGTCAATAGCTATTTTGGAAGCAATTAAATATATAGATGCTAACTAAACCCATTTTAGTAAATCTTTGATATTAAGTGATTCACGTAGCTGTTTGGAAGACTTGAAGAAACTCCCATTTCATAGCAAATTTAACTCGGTATATACTTTGAGAGCTAAGAAAATATTGTGTACTTTGGAAAAGGCCGGTGTTAAGATTGTGTTAGCTTGGATCCTAGGTCACTTGGGCATCTGGGGAAACGTAGCCGCCGACTCTTATGCTAAACAAGGTGTTCATAGTCAAAACTCCTTAGGTAAGTCATGTCTAATGAAATCTTGGAATAATTTGTGGCAATGCTCTAAATTGATAAAAGGTAAATACTACACAACACTATACAACTGGCAATATTCAGCCAAATATTTCGTCAAGACCTTGGTTGTTTTAAACATAAGTTATTAGATAGGATGATTACCTCTATGATCATACGTCTTAGATTGGGACATGTTTGCTCCCCAGTTTTTTAGCTAAACTCCACATACGCGACCACTCAATTTGCCAATGTGGCTCGGCTGAGGGTACACTAGAACATCTATTTTTTTCATGCCCAAACATTGTAACCCCTCTCTATGATATTCTCCCTCACAACTTTTCTAGGCCTGCCAATATCCCATTCCTTCTAACACTTACTGAATCCCCTTTTATTAAAGTTTTATACAAATTCCTTCGTATCAATAACATTAAGCTTTAATCCCTATTCCTACACTCTTTTCCTTGGTTAATATTGTTGTTTTTTATCTCTTTTTTAAGTATTTTCCTTGAGTATTGTCCTTAACTACTTACTTTTATTATTTATCAAATTTGAAAAATTATATATGAATTAACTTATTATTTTTTTTTGTTTAGGTAACTAAACGGTATACGTGTAATTGTCTACCCACACTATAAAAGTCAATATTATCGGCTAATTATATTACTAACTCTTTGGTTTATTCATCCTTGACATTGGCAAAATCATCAAGTTATATATTGATGGGGCCTTAAAACTAAAATTGGAATTGGAAGTACTTTCGTTTTGATAACTAGTCAGTATCGTAGGAGTGGCAGCGCACTGTTACAAGCGCCACCTTTGTTGCGTTGAGAATTCAGAAATTTAAAGTAACATTTATAAAGCTCATTCCTCGATAGGATACCAAGTACTTTAGTTTCGATACCCAGTAAGTATCGTAAGGATGGTTCGATGCTAAAGATAAAAGTACTTGGTATCGAGTAGTTACTCGTCTTTACTTGTATCGGAATGTCTCTAATGTGATTCCGGCAAAAGTAAGTCAGTCAGGCTCACAGAGTACTCTACAGTATATATGTCTTATTTATGGTACTCTATTATATACTGGTCAGGCTTAGAGATCTGTTTAAGGATGCCGAAAGTAAAGAAAAATATCTATATATCGATATTTAGAAAAATATCAATATCGGATGATATATCGAAGAGAAAATATCGATATTTTTTTAGGCCCTGTTGTCCAAAAAAAACGTATGCCAAGAAATAAATGTATTAATGTACGGACTCTGTCCCGGATTTGAATTTGAAAAAAATAATTTTTGCTACGATTTCAATGAATTAAAATATATCGGCCAATAATGTCGATATTTATTCGGCATCCCTAGACCTGTATTCTGTACACAGAATACCAACAGAACACTTTTACTCAAAGAGATTCCGTATCCGTACTGTATCTCCTATAGTTCTGTGATTCTGTGTGTTTTAAATTTTGTGTATATTCTGTGTACTGTATGGTAAAAATGGAAGAAGGTGTTACTGCTGTTGCGGTCAAGCATGAAGGAAAAAATATTGATATTAAGCAAGAGAAACAGGATAACGTAGAAAACTTTAAGTATGAATTCGATTCTGGAAGCCAAGACAGTAGCAAAAGTGGCAGTGGCGGTTACCAGCGATGGGCGCCCAATTTAAACGGGATACGGAAAAGTGCATTTACCCCATATAAATCTGTTCAATGTACGGCGTTAACTAATTTACAAAGAGGTAATATTGCTTGCAAAGGCTCTTTGGTTTTAAGACTATACTAATATTGATTACTTTGGTGTTTGACTCTTCAATAAGTTTTTAAGTATTCAAGGTCATGTATTTAGGTAATACGCAGGCGCGGGTTCCTGAATTGCCTCAACCCGACTGTAGCTTTCACGCTAAGGCTGGGCGCGGAGAAATAACTCGTGAAGACGTGAAACTGGAGCAATATGTTGATATTACTGATGAACATGGACTCACCGCATTACATTGGGCCGCAAGTTATGGGCAGTTAAATAGTTGTCAAGATCTTGTGTGGTAATATAGTCATGTTCTTGTTTCCTTTGTTCTCAGTACTGTACTGTTTTTTGTTCAACTAGTCTTGAGGCAGTTAATATTTTCTTAAATATGATTTTGTTTTTATAAATCTCTTATTATTATCAGTATGAAATTGTTATTCATACACAATATTTGTTTGTGTTTGATTATTTATTTTACCTCATATATGAATTTTTTAAAGATATTATAAAATTGAATAATTAATGTTAAAATTTCGCTGTTTTCTATAGTTCATTAAGTGAGTTTAATATTTATTAATTGCTTAGCTAAAATCTACTGCTATATAGCTATATTTTCTTTCCAAATATGATATTTGTCTGTATGCAATAACTTAAGTAACATTTCATCAAATTTAATGATTTTAGCACCATTTTAAAGATTAGGTTTTCTACTAATGACAAATATAGATAAGTAGAATAAAGTTAATGTTTTCATAAAAAAAATTAGTTTAAAATGGTTTATTTAAGGAATTAAGAATTTTTGACAATTTATTTACATAAAAGGTAATGAAGTGGACTAAAAATGTTCTCCAAAATAAGATACCTTTCAATCATAAATACTTACTAATATTATATAAACATTTGGTTTTTTTTTTATGATTCAACTAGTATATGTATATTAATGTTATATTCTAGGAGTGGTGCCGATGTTAACATGCGAGGCCCGGAAGGTGAGACAGCATTACATCTGGCTGCAGCAGGAGGGCACCATGAGGTTGTGAAATTTCTTTTGAATGAAGGCGCTGATGCTGATATACAAGATGATGTATGAATTATTTTATTCAAATACTTGTTAACTTAATATAATAAGAAACCAAAACTAAATTTTATTTATGTGTTTATGTCTGATTTATGAAATTGAATTTATGGCCAATCCTATTGTAATTTTTGCTACTTGTAATATTAATGGTTTAACCTTTTTTTAGTCTGGCAGTACAGCTCTCATGTATGCAGCAGCAGCAGACTTTCCCTACACTTGTAATGAGCTCCTCATTCGAGGAGCTGATCTTACTCTCACCAATGATTATGACCAAGATGCTTATACTTTAACCACTACCAACAACTGCAAACTGGGTAAGATTTTTTTACTGTCAATTGTACAAAATATAATTTTATGGGCTATATCTCAATGTTTTCTTTCTTTCAGCACAAACTGTGATAGAGAATTTTTTGATTGGATGTCTCAGCAAAATGTGAAACAACCCATATTAATTTGCATAGGACAATCAACACAACAGGTTTATTTGCTTACAGAGTTAAATAATAATACAGGGATTTAGTTTATAAATTGTATTTAATAAATATTTTTAAGTTCACCATATACAAACATGTGATGTGTCAAGTAATTCAATTACAGACAAATAAAAACCCTGTTCTTTCTTATTTACACCAACCCTTAAATATGTTAAAAAATCGTAAACACTGACCATAATAATATATTATATTTTATACATCTTTACTTATAGAATAAATACAAAATTTTATCACAGTTTAGATTCAGTGAGCCAGTTGAATGTTTGCGGTTTTCTATTGGAATGAGGACTAATAAGAATGTTTATAATAGTGGGTTTGTCCACAATTGTCACAGCTTTTTTTATTGCTGTCTCAATCTCTTGGACTGTGCGGCAAAGGTATCCAGTTTCCCCAAACATTTCCATCATCTTCTCATATTGAACTTCTGTGCTCAATGCAGTTGGTGGAGTGCTGAAATTATACAAAATTTAAAATGACAATATTGCAATAGTGTTTCTGAAGATGTATATGGAGCGGTTTGAGAGTAAATGCATGCCTGAATACTTTCCTTAATAAATGAAATTTTACCATAGAAAATAATATATTGATATAAAAACAATGTGTCAACTATTAAGATGTTAAATTAAACTAACTAATTGAAATTCCCAACATTTTATACAACATCAGGAATTAAGATTAAATATGTTCTAAATGTTGTAAACATAGCTTACATGGTTAATTAATGGGATTTAACTAAGTTTATGCCTGTAAATAGAAGATATTGTAAAGTTTCAAACAACAAGACTATTTTTTGTATTTGACAAGCATTGGCTTTAAGTTAAAACAAACATTTGTAATTTGTTCTGTATAAGTTGCAATAATTAAGTTACTTTACCTTCGTGCAACATCACCATGTGACTGGAGTTCTTGCATGGTATTCTTATCAAACCCGCTGTATATGCCATTATTGTTCACAATTATAATTATAACTGGCAACTTATAACGGAACATGGTTTCAATTTCCATACCTTTAAAAGAATGGAGTAATCATAAACACCTTATTGTCTATACAGGGAGACTTTTCTAAGTGTATCCAAGTTGTTTATTAAATTCTAAACATAAATAGTGTTATATAAAAATTATAAATATTTAAAATCACTCGTAATTAATCTATTACATTCATTTGAACTTATCTCAAAAAGTGCGTGATTTATGGGCAACTCTTTATTTTACGCGCGATCACGTACACAAGTTCATTTCAAAAGTATACGACGCGTTAATAAATGACTTCCGCATTGTCAACAAGTTCTGTTTTTTAGGGAATAGAATGGCAATTTTTTTTGAAAAAAGAAAGTTTGTTTTTATTTCAATAAACGATTATACTATTGAGTCTGAACCTCGTGTGAATTTGGGCATCATTAAAAAAGCCACCATGTATAAGTATAAAGATATACATAATTATACCGTTTGACTTAGTAATTGTCGCTTATTGATTATTTTTAATTTAATTGTTGGTCTGCACTGAAGATAAATTTAGCTATTTCCTGGATTCGGACCAGCGTCTTATGGGTAACCCGCCCAGATACTAGCAAACAGAGCTAAGTGCCTGATATCTTCATGCAAGAATTTCAACAGCTATTTAAGCCCCAGTTCATTATTTTTCAAGTACATAAATAAATAATGTGAATTATTTAATTCATTATACAAGAACTGCTGGTTGACATTCATATTAATAAAACTTTGTAATTTGAAATTTATTTTAAAGTTACACATCTGCTATGATTGTTAGATGCATTATTAAATCTGAATTTTTTTTTAATCTGACATCAATGGAGAAGTTGCGTCTTGTTATATCTCAATCCAGTATACTAGTTCCTTACAACATCTAAGGGCTTATAATTTTAAAGTACCATATTTAACAAATGATTTTGAAGATGATACAAACCAGAAAAACCGAAAGCGGAGTCTCCTTCAACACAAATAACTCGCTTGTTCGGGGCATGGTCTCGACACCACATAGCGGCAGCTACAGCGAACCCAGGGCCCACCTGGTGCATTATGTTGAATAAGACATGGAGAGCTATGTTAACATTTTTTACTTTTAATTTTCATTTTTGTTAACATTCTTTTAATTTCAATTCTTAAATAATTATATATGTTAACATTTTGTATGAGCAGAAAAACAGTTCAAGAAAATTTATCATTGAGCATGTAACAATACTTATAAAAATATAGTTATATACACATGAAAAAAAAATATACCATTTTAGTCCGTAGACTAATTAAGCAAAGAAAACAGAAAGAATCAGAAGCGGCGAACCCGCTCAAAACAAAAATCATTAACAACTACTCCAAAATGGAGTAGTTGGATGCACAGCTGTTAACTGTTTATTCAGTCTGTGAATTGCGTACCACGTGGCGTCGTTTAAACTATAAATGTATAAAAACTGAAAAAAAGCATATCTGTTGTATGGGAGCCCCCTTAAATATCTACCATATATTTTTTTACTATTTGTTCTTATAGCGGCAACTGAAATACATCATCTGTGAAAAATTAATCTGTCTCACTATCAAGCCTTGATATATCTCAGGGCTATATCTCAAGAACCTTGATAATCAAGGTTCTTGAGATATAGCCTGGTGACAGATTGACAAACAGACAGAAAGATGGCGGAGTCTTAGTAATAGATTCCCATTTTACCCTTTGGGTATGGAACCCCAATAAGTAGCACATTGGGATATCGTATTTAATTATTGAATTAAATGGGTTTATATGCAGCATTAATAATGGGTGATATTTAGCTAGACATAAGATTTTATCATTTAACGTTAAATCTGTGTCATTAATTTCAAATTCTAAAAGATATTTCAAACTTATAACAATAGGGATAATAATAAGTTATTTTAGAATTTGAAAATTAATCATAAAATTGAAAAAAGGATTTAATGTACTCAACTTTATCCTAAAATGGGAAATAATATCTGAATATTACGCGTGTGAGAAGTGGTGAGGGCGCGAGACGCTTGTTTCGTTTATAAGATACAGCGCGCGGCATGCAAGGCATGCAATTACGACTGAACGTTGCATCTGATTCTTTCTGTATTCTTTGTAAAAAAAAAAACGCTATCTTTGGGGCAGGAATGACACGAGATTCGGTACAAACCATGACCCCGACTCAACGATTTTCTTGAAATGTACTATGCTGGGAGTTTCGGGGGTGATAAACTTATCTAGTTAGGTTTCATTTTTGAAAATGTCCTTTGAATTTTTTATTTTTAGAAAAACTGCTACAATATCATTAGAATAAGATGGTAAATTTCGCCACCATCTGGTCATTATATCTTAGGTGGGAAATCGGGTGGTCCTGGAACCAGATGACCCAGGTGAGAGTCCAGATGATAGTTTTTCCTTTTTATTTTTTTCAAGTTCCTTCTTTTGTTAGAAAAGAAACCGAGCTCGTTCACCCAGGTGCCCCCAATATAAATAAAAAATAAGGTCAATAGTAAGTTTTGCACCTGAAATACTTACTCCCATAGTTCCAAATGTTCCTGCGTCCAGACGATGCCTAGGTTCGTTATTAAGTAACAAGCCACGTCCAATGTCCATGGTGTTGGCCCCTTCACTCACAATTATAGAGTCTTTAGGAATGTTTGCTTGCACAGTTTTGAATACCGCATAGTAATTAAGAGGTACAGTTACATCATTTGCCTGGGCCTGATAAAATATTAAAAACTTAATAAGATTGATAAAAGTTTCTCGAATTTTGGTATAAGATTCACATTATATACACATGAAAGGTTTGAACCCTCGGATCGAAAAGACGATGTAGTAAATACCTTGACAAACTCTGCATTTTTTTCCTGTTTCTCTTGCAATGCCTGCCACCAGTTGTTTTTATTAGGAATTAAACTGAATTTTTTGTCAGCTAACTTTCGAGTTAAAGCTTCTGTAAATGGTTTAATATCAGAATGTACAGCCACTTCTGACTTGACAGAGTTGTTCAGCTCTTCAGGAGAAATGTCCACCTACCAGCAATAAAAACATGTACTTATTAAATATCAATTTTTAGTGCTATTCTCTGCAATGTTCCTGGAGAGTCGAAAGGTATTTTCCAATTATCTATAAAAATTCAGTACAAATTAATAATCAAATATTTCTCTGTAGCAATAACAAACGAAAAATTAATCTCTTTTCTTGACTTTAGAGTCACTTAGATTCCAAATTTAAATTATTTCAAATTAAGCTCTCTTACTTGTATAATTTTAACGTCTGGCGCATATCTCGGTGGCTGACCAAAATGCAACATCCAGTTGAGCCGGGCGCCCAGAAGAAGGATCACATCGGCTTTAAGCAACGCTTGAGTTCTAGCTGATGCTACACACAGTTGTGATTCGTCAGGCACTACCCCTTTACCTAGAACAAACCATGTCATATTTTATCAAATAAATATCGGAATATTTATTATTTAAATGACTTTTTATATAGGATAAATTTTAATACAACAAATAAATACAGGAAAATTTATTTGTTAAATTACTTTTTATATAAGTTACTCATTAATTATTGTAAGTTACCCATTGGTGTTGGCAGGAAGGGGATTTTAGTGTCCTCTACAAGTTTTCGAACAGCATTTTCTGCTCTTCCATATGCTGCACCTTTACCAACAATAACTAAAGGACGCTCAGCTTTGGCCAGCAAATCTGCTGCATGATCCACTAGCGAAGGATCAGGATATGGCAAATTTGCGACACCAACGTTGTAGTAATCTAAAGGTACTTTATCCTCTTCTACCTCAGCCTAGAAAGTAGGAAAAAGTAAAGAAACAGCCTATATATGTCCCACTCTTGGGCAAAGGCCTCCTCTGTACTGAAGGTATAAAGGCATAGTCCACCACTTGACCCCACTGCGGATTGGCGGACTATCTTCGAGCGGCGGTTATATCTTCGATCTTTTATCGTTATTATTTCGAAAATATGATGTTTACTTCACCCCTGAACATGTAACTAAGTCTGCATTTAGAATTAACAATTTCATTGGTGCCGCCACAGGAGATCGAGTATATTGAATTAAAAAGCGAGCGGTCAGTCAGGTCAACAATGAGCTATCACCCGAAGATAATAGAATGGAAGAGTACAACACACAGAAAGTTAATAAACCTATCCATTGATTATGTGGAATAGTAAAGAAAACTTATATTAGTAAAGTGTCACAACATTTAAAGACTGCTTCTAAAATTATTATCCTTATCAGAACACATTACGAAAATATATGTTCTTGTATCTTGTATTAACTGATGTTTTTGCTTTTAGTCCCGAGATTATTAAATCATTTATAAATACCTCATCTATGAAATGGATTTATTTTTCCAATACCATTTGCTGTGTATCAATTGATAAGAAATTGCTTATTCAACATTTTTTACTCTTGGATTTTTTTTTTATAAAAGTTATGAAGGATTAAATTGCAGTTGTGCAAAATGATGGATTAATGTTTTATAATAATTGTAATCAAAAGTTTTGTTAAAATTTGTAGAAAGCTTGATAATTTGCTTAAGTGAAGAGATTTGCACTATAAAAAAATTAAATTTCTTTTCAAAAGTATTATATTTAAATAAGATCTAACCCCTTGTTACAATTTCAAGTTGAAAACATAAGGAAAATGATGTCTCAGATCAATTGATCTGGGGTTCTTAGATACCAACAAACAAAAAATTATAAATTTTTATACTAAGTGATAAACACTTAATAGTGCTAATTTGTGCATTTATGTTTCCATTTTCCTACAAATTTTAAAAATTAATATATTTTTTGTAACAGCTATATATACAGCGTGTCGTTACCATCGCGACAATAAATAAACACACTTCTAATGCTACTTGCCAATAATCATAAAATAATATTAACGTTAAACAAAATCCATAATTAAAAAAAAATAATTTTCAAACAAACTAATTAAGTAAAAAAGAAACAAAATTTGTAACATCCTATACAACTCGCGCCACAGCGTCGTATTACAAGCCTCTCCTTCTAACAGTATGTTTTGTCTCTTTTAAATTCATTCAACCCATTCATATGCTTTGTGACCTTTACAAATGAACTTTACGTTACGCTTTTATAGGTAAGGATGTTCTAAAATTCTTTATTTTGGAAAATTTAATAACTCTGTAAATATTAATGTTTAAAGAATTTAAATGTTTAATACAACTTTAAAAAGTTATCCCCTATATGTGTTTTCATTTATTGTCGCGATGGTAACGACACGCTGTATAACTATATTATATGTCTTAAGCTTTATATCATAAAGTGAAAGTTGAATGTAACATATACTATATTTCTAATTTTATATTTAAACACTTAAAAATTATAAATTTGTGGAATGATATATTCAAAATTGTATTTTGGACTTTTACCATAAGCAAGGTTGCTGGCATATCAAGATAGGAGACACCTGGTCGTCCTGCAGATGCAAGTCGTACAGCCTTTTCAACATGTTGAGGTATTAAACGCGGCGATGGAGGTCTTGCTGCATATTTGCTGTACATTCGACTAGATTCCACCTGTAGCATAAGAAAAGGGTACTTTTTTATTTGTATAAAAGTATCAGCTTCCTTCGCCCTAGAGGGTATCTAGGCATAATCCATCACGAGGTCCCACTGCAGATTGAATGAAAACAAAACAAAAATGTATTTTTCAATTGTTATGTATGTTTTCTATGATAATGTCCCTTGGCAATAATTATCAACCTTAATAAATTATTCATATAAGAATTAAAAATTTTTTAGTTCTTTTACTAAACTAAATTTATTATAGCTTAGGATTTTCCTTATTTGATAATGGTCAATGTTTTAACATGTTTCACTTCATATACTTCTAAGTCTTACCTGTAACCACTCTTGAAAACCTCCAATTCCTTCATGGTCTTCAGGGCATGAGCCAGCTATGACGAGTAAAGGCCAACCATTTACTTGAGCATTAGCCATACCTCCAATGCAATGAAGGAGACCTGGCCCAGATACTGCCAAGCAAACTCCTGGTTTTCCTTTAAAAAAATGTACATACCTAGTATGGATATCATATAAAACTAAATTACATACCTAGTATGGATATTATATAAAACTAAATTAATGTGTTAATTGCTCAAAATGGTAAGTTTAAGTTTGATGACCATCCCTAAGTAATTTTATTTATTTAAGCTTTGTTGGGCGGACTTAATGCTGTAAAATTGTATCATATTGTTGAGTATTTAGAAATTTTAGTAACAATCAATTTTTAAATAAATAAAATTTTAAAATATAAATATTCAATGTTTTGAACACTACAGAATTAATCATGATATCATAAAGAATTGATAATTTATCCACATGGGACATTGGACCAAATAGTGACAACCAACTGGTTCAAATCGGTTTCCCGGACTAACTCTAAAGATTAAGCATTTTATATAAGTAGTTCTTAGAAGATACAAAAAAAGGTTATTTATGTATTTTTCACTTTATTACAAGAACTGTAAATGTATTTTATAAGTGATTGTTTAATCTAACATACCTGTAAGGTAACCAATTGCTTGTGCTGCATAACAGGCTGCCTGTTCATTGCGCATTCCTACATATTTTAGTCCAGCAGCTTGAAAAGCTAGTGATGTTTCAATCACCGGTATACCAACAATACCAAACACATATTCCACACCCTATAAGTCATCCATATAATTTTTTATAAATAACATAGGTAAAAAATTTAATTGAACTTCAAAACTAATATGCTTAACTAAGATTTGTTTTATTACCTGCTTTTTCAAGCTTTCTGCCAAAATATTATTACCATCAATACCCATAGCTTGATTTAATTTTGTAGATACGTGAAAAGATCTTCTAAAAGACAAATGACGAAGACATCTTAATAACATTTTAAAATTAAAACTAGTAAAAAGTTTTTCAAGTCCTCTTTTAAACAACTTTACCGCAAACGAATAAGTTCTAGTTGTACGCTCTGGAAAAAGTAATCAGTATCAAAATAATTTATGATTTATGCCATCCATTTGCCAAACTGATAAGTAAATGATTACAAGTTTGAACTTTGTTTAATCTTTTGATGGTAGATTGAGCGCTGTTTTGAACTTTGGAATTGAAGTTTGAAGTTGAACTTAATTTTGTCCATATTACTTAGTAGGGATGCCGAAAAAATATCGATGTCGATATTTTTTTAAAATATATCGATATATTTAGCCGATATATTCTGATTCGATATATCGATATAAAAAATTGAATATCGAAATTGTATCAAAAACGATATTTTTGTTCATACATGATTCAAAGCTGTTAAAGATAAGAATGAACGAAAAAAAAAACTGTGCTTTATTACTATTATTGTCGCGGATGCAGAGTTGCATTTTGTACTATAATTATGGTATTTATATTACAATTTGATGATTCGTACTATCCATATATTAGGTACAACATGGAATAGAGGTGTTACAAATCATTAATATCGAACTGCATATTAAGTTAATTTATAAATAGCATGCAAAATATTAATGACACCACGTAAAGTTACTTTGATTTAATATGTAAATAAAGTTAACAAAAATTGAATTATTTTTTTAATTTTACAAATTCTCAATAATAATATAATATTGAGGTTTCATAAAAAAATATTTGTCGTCGTAAAATTATTATCATTTAACCACATAAGGAACTTCTTTAAATTGTCGTTCAGCATTTTCATGTCATTCTTTAGGTTTTCTTACAAAGTTACTTGTTTTTTAATTGTAAAAATGAATAAAAAGTAAATAAACCGACAGTGATCGTTATTGTCTTCTCCGTCCTAGATACCTTATGAGGTCCACTGTGCGCTTGAGAGAAGGTCTTACTGCGTCGTCTGTCAAGAAGACGTGTGTAGCAGTCAAGAGGTCCTTCGAAATGAAGACTGGCTGGTGACCATGGTGAGAGGCAGGTGTTAGCCTCAGTCGTGCCATCTGCAGGCGGAGTTGAGTGGCGAATTTGGTTAAGTCCTCGACGCGATCTGGAGCTAGAGCAGTGGCAATATGTTCACCGGGCAAGCGCAGGGGTTCCCCGTAAACAATCTGGGCCGGTGAGCATTGCAGGTCCTCTTTAAGAGCTGTGCGCATGCCTAGTAGGACCACAGGCAGCGACTTGTACCATGTTTCCTCGTAACACATCAAAGCGGCTTTAAGTTGCCTGTGCATGCGTTCGACGAGGCCGTTCGCGCACGGGTGGTAATTTATAGTCCGAACGCGTTTGCTGCCACACATCTGCATGAGGGTCTGAAAAAGAGACGATTCAAATTGACGACCCTGGTCGGTCGTTACGATGGTCGGCACGCCGAAACAAGCGCTACAACCAGGTTTCTGCGCACTCCTCCGCTGTCATATTGACCATTGGCCAAACCTCTGGCCACCGGGTAAATCTGTCGACAGCCGTCAGGCAGTACTCCTGACTGGAACGGAGAGGGCCAATGAAAATTAGTGCAGAAAAATTATCAAGAGGGGTCGATATGTGCCGTGAAATCTTGCTCCGTTGACAAGCAGTACAAGCACGAGACCATTTGTAGCAGTCTTTGTGTATATTCGGCCACACAAAACGCTCAGCTACCAGGCGTGCGGTTGTCCGCGCGCCGGGGTGGCTGAGATTGTGAATTTTGTCATAGTAAGGACGGCGAAAAGAAGATGTAAGAAATGGACGTGGTTTACCCGTGGAGACGTCACAGAAAATTTCAACGTCGGAACCAGGAACCAAAACTTTTTCTAGTTTTAGGGACGAGTTGGTTTGCATCCTCTGCAGTTCGTCGTCAGGTGCCAGTTCCGCAGCGAGAGCAGTGAAGTCATCGAGTATATGGACGGCTTCCACACGTGACATAGCGTCAGCAACGACGTTTTCTTTCCCATGTACATGAACGATGTCAGTTGTAAACTGGGACATGAAAGAAAGCTGGTTGAGCTGAACGGGTGGGATCTTCTCTCGTTTTTGTGAAAAGGCGTACGTTAACGGTTTATAATCCGTGTATATAACCACATGTTGAGCTTCCATGATATGGCGAAAATGATGATAGCGTCGTAAATCACTAGCAGCTCCCTGTAGTAGGCAGGCCAGGTTGTCTGGGCGGCTTTGAGCTTCTTGCTAAAGAAGGAGAGAGGCTGCCAGGAGTCATCAACGAGCTGTTTTAAACAAGCGCCAACATGGGTGGACGAAGCATCGGTGAATAAACCAAGTTTAGCGTCGGGTACAGGGTGGGCAAGAAGCGTCGCATTTACAAGATGATCCTTGCATTTCTGGAACGCGGTGTGGAGCTCAGGTGTCCACGGAACTGGTTGCGACCCTTTAAGCTGACCCGACAGCTAACTGTCGATTAACGGCGCTTGGAGTTCTGCTGCATGTGGCAGAAAGCGGCAGTAAAAATTTACCATACCAAGGAATCTGCGGAGGCATTCAACTGTTTTAAGTGGAGGGAAATTCCGCAGGGCTTCGATGCGCTCAGGAGGTGGACAAGTACCCGATTTGCTAACCTTGTATCCGAGGAAAGTTACTTCATCTGCGCCAAGCACACATTTCGATGGGTTGACAACAACACCGTATTGCGATAATAACCAAGGGAGTAGATGACAGCCGTGTCACGCCGCTTGTCCGCAGGAACAATCCTTTTCCATCAGCGGACTCCGTGCATGGAATCAGATGTATAGCTGTGCAATAGCTTCTCCCTCGTGAAAATTTCCTCTCCGGTAAACGTATTCTCTCGATTAGATTTTCACAATTTGAAAAAAAAAAAATTCACGAGGTTTTTAAAAAAAGTTTTCTGATCAGGTCGGGGTGACCAATATGGCATGAAATGTGCGGAATGCCATTAAATCTTCTTCTTTGCGTGTCGATGACAAATTAGATTTTTCCGACCCAGAACTTGGCCACTTCGACTGCACAGTTCGTGGCGTCCATCAAATCCTGCTGCGAACAGGTGGAAGGGCAAGCAGAACAGGACACCAGATGAGCCATGGACTGCACCGCTCCACATACACAATCTAGGTGTTGGCTCCCCGAGAGTCCCCACCTTAACATATTTTCTTTGCTCCGGCCAACCTGAGTCCGAAGTCTATTTAAAGACTTCCACATTAAGCCATTAAATAAAACTCACAAATGTGCTCACCGTTATTTGTATTCTTCAGAAGCATTTTTACATAATTTCAAACAAGTTGACCATTGTGTTCCCTGCTGCGCCGAGCGTGGAGGCAGAGGTAAGTCCCCGGTCGCCGACCAATCAGAGGCGACTCGGTTGCAAAGCGCGAGGCGCGCTCTTTTGCGCGCTAAATTTCAAATAGAAGCGGCGGTTGTTTTAATCCGCCACATATCAAACGTGCCTTTAGAGTTTATATGATTTTAGTTTTTAATTGGTTGATGCTGAAAAAGAACGAATTTACTGACTTTGATCTATTTGTTTCAATCAATTCATTGAACTAGAACGGAAAAGGAGTACACCTCGATGATGTGTTTGTGTAGTTGTCTTGGTTTTCGATGTAATGCTCATACGTCAATATCATATCAATTTTTAACATCATAGGTATTCCAATTCCAATGTTAGTTCAATGAATATATACCTTGATGATTCTTCCAATGTCATGGTTGAATAAAACAAAGAGTAAGTAATATAATTGGCCGGTAATATTTATTTTCATAGGATATTACACGTATTCGGCGGGAGCTCCCTATTACCAGCTTCTTCCATTTGACTGCACCCAACGTAGGGCAGCTAGGGTTATCGACGATCAAAGTTTTTCTGATCGGCTTGATCCTTTGGCTCTGTGTAGAGATGTTGGATCAATCTGCATCTTCTATCGCTTCTATCACGGGAAGTGTTCCGAGGAATTGTTTGGATTGATCCCGTCGGCTGAATTACACCATCGGACATCGCACTATAACCAAAAATTTCATCCACACCACCTCGATTTACATTGTTCCACAAAAACCTATTAGCACAGGGGCTCTTTTCTTCGATGTCGCAAAGCATTCGATGACGTCTGGCACAACGGCTTGCTTTACAAGCTGTACACACTCAAAGTGCCAGATAGGCAAGTACACACCATCCGGGCCTTCCTGTTGAATCGCTTTTTTCGATATCGAGTCGAGGAAACCCTCTCCACAAGCCGCCGCGTCACGGCTGGCGTTCCACAAGACTCCTGCCTCTCACCTTTGCTCTTTACGCTCTACATGAACGACATACCAAAAAACTCACATGTCAATCTCGCGCTTTTCGCAGATGACACGCCGTTCTTTTATTCAGACCGAAACCTCAGTCAACTAACCACTCGACTCCAAAGCGCCGCCGACCGCCTCGGCGATTGGTTCCGCAAATGGAGAATAGAAGTAAATCCCGAAAAGGGAGTGGCGATTCACTTCAGACGAATTACTTACCCGTCACATCTTTATAAAGGCTCTCGCCAATGCAGAAAGTTGGTGCGAATATCCTTTTATGGCTATCCCTGGGAGAAAAAGGTCAAATACTTAGGAATCACTTTCGACTCGCGTATGTCATTTACTACGCACATTAATAACGTTCGTAATAGAGCCGCGTTCGTCTCTGGCCGGCTACACAATTTAATTAAGGCTCAAAGTAAAATGCCCTTAAGGCACAAATTATTATTATATTCGACCTCCGTTCGACCTATTATGTCCTACGCCTGCATGACATTCGCCCACGCGCACCCTACTCGCTTGTACAAGTTGTTAATAGTACAAAAGTTCATCCGCCGCGCAACCGGTGCGCAGTGGTATCAGCGCAACGTCGACCTGCACAGCGATTGCAGACTCCCGGTCTCTGGAGGTAAGCGCAGTAAATTACCGACCCGACACAAACACGAACGTCAACAAGCGTCGCCCGCGAAACGTGCTCATCGACCCAGTCGAGGAAGGGGACTTAGATACGTCGGCCCCACCGCCGGGGGTCCCGCCGGATAACACTACACCCACAGTTAGTGCATCAACAAACACACTTGTTCGCCCTCGCCTCCGAGCACGGCGAGACGAACACAATGCGTACACAAGGTACACCCGCGTTCCGGGGCGGTTCTCACCGCTCCCAGCCACCGATTAGCTAATTGCATAGTCGACGGCCATCGGGGTTTCGGTCCGAACCGCGACCTCGATGGCCCTTAGATGAGACACCATAATTAAACCACGCATGAGCACATGCGCGGCCCTACCCATAGCGGAGGGCCCAAACCCGTGGGTTCTGGCTAGCCCACCGGTTCTGCGTCAGATGAAGCTTTAATAGTCTCGGGACTGAAAGCAAAAACATCAGTTAATACAAGATACAAGAAGTGTTCCACAACAGCTCGATTTTCAAGGCATTTCCTGCCTCGCATAACCACTCTGCAACCAGCTGCTGCCGGCAGTTTTTCCGAATCGCATTTGTAAGCCCTCTGGTATTGCAGGTGTCCTCGACGGTGATCACTTACCATCAGGGGAAGCTCCTGCTCGTTTGCCGCTTTTTTCCTCATAAAGAAAAGTTACCACAACAAAGGACAATACAATAAGTTACTTCATATACAGCGTGTAGTTACCATCGCGACAATAAATGAAAACACATATAGGGGATAACTTTTTAAAGTTGTATTAAACATTTAAATTCTTTAAACATCAATATTTACAGAGTTATTAAATTTTCCAAAACAAAGAATTTTAGAACACCCTTAGTAAAGTTCATTTGTAAAGGTCACAAAGCATATGAATGGGTTGAATGGATTTAAAAGAGACAAAACATACTGTTAGAAGGAGAGGCTTGTAATGCGACGCTGTGGCGCGAGTTGTAAAGGATGTTACAAATTTTGTGTCTTTTTTTTTAATTAGTTTGTTTGAAAAATATTTTTTTTTAATTATGGATTTTGTTTAACGTTAATATTTTTTTATGATTATTGGCAAGTAGCGTTAGACGTGTGTTCATTTATTGTCGCGGTGGTAACGACACGCTGTATAATTTTTCATCTATAACAAAATATAAAAGTAAATTGTTAAACACAATATTAACCAAGGAAAATAATGTGTGTGTGTCAAGTGTGAGTCGGACACGAAGGGTTCCTTACCATTATCTACAAAAACACCACAAAAATCAAGTCTGTTATGTGGCTGCCTCACTTACATATTTTTTTATTCTGTTTTTAGTAGTTATAGCGTTTTTGTTGTTATAGCGGCAGATAAATACATCAACTTATATATACTTTTAAAATTTCAACAGTCTAATTATCACGATTCATGAGATACAGTCTGGTGATTGACGGACACACAAACGGACAGACAGACGGACGGACAGACAGACAAACGGACAGAAGGACGGACAGACGGACGGACGGACAGACAGACTGAGAGAACCCTAAAAAGAAGTGGAGAAATAGATTTTAAAGCCTAATGTTATTGTTACGATGGAACTTGTATCAAACTTTTATAAACGAGAATTCAGTAAGAGTTAGAAGGAATGGGATATTAACAGGCCCAGGAAAGGTGTGAGGAAGAATAATCGCTCTTATTGTGAATATATTGTAAGTGGGGAATACCTTATATCTAAGGATCTACAACAATAGTCAAAAAATTTACCTTTTTTCGTAAAGCCACCGAGAAATTTATAAGAGGAATAAATATGTCGTTAAAAACTAAAAAAAAACGTGTGACATTTTGGTATATTATATTTATAATTTGATACATTAAGGCCATGATCGAAAAACCACATATTTAGATAATGAAGAGCGGAACTTAAAAGTGAGAAGCTATTAGATCGACATTGCGAAAAGAATTAGCGCTGAAGGGAAAGTGGAGTGGCCATGTCTCCAGACTTACTGATGGTCGCTGGAGTCGACACGGGTTAGAGTGGCCAACATGGTTTGGCAAGCGGAGTGTGGGACGACCCGCAGCACGATTTAAGAAAGGCGGATGGATGCCGGCAGTCCAGGGCCGGGATAGTTGGCGCACTTTTGGGGAGGCTTACGTTCAGCGGTGACCGGCAATAGGCTGATATTATTAGTATTATTATCTATTATTTTTGGTTTTTATCTTGGTTTCTATCTGGCTTTTCAATATAGACTTAACCCGGGATGAATCAAAAGTGAAAGAATCAATAAATACGCGAAGTCGATAAGTAAAATTAAAAAATCCGTTTTTCCCGTTATCGCACTTATAACTATTGATTTAAGGATAAAAGTAAGAACAAAAACAGTTAAAAATTGTAAAAAAGACAAAAAAAGTAATTTCTTCCGGTATTTTTACTATATACAATTGTTTTTCACTTGTTTTTATAAGCGACCTTTGCATATCTTTCACCGGGACGTTGCAATAAGTTTGCGAATATGCTTGAATTGGTCAATGGTTTGTTGTTTATTATTAATAAGGTCCGTCTGACCCTTAACTGCATCATATCTAAGTGAATTATATTCAAAAAGATCACGTTTTTATTCTGAAATTTTAATAGTTGAACATGAATGGAAAAATAAAAACGCAGAAACACAGTGCAAGCGAGTCAGAAATATGTAATTATATGGCAAACCAGGAGTTATAATTATATAATATTCACTAGTATAGTGATTTCATGTAATCTAATATTTCTTATCATTGTGTGTAGAATTTTTTATTATTTGGTAATTATAAAGAACTTAAGAACCTCAACCTCACTTTATAGTGAAGTATGTTAACTGGCGAGTTAAGCTATATGAAGCAACTTATACTAAAGAAGGCCTAAAAATCCAACTGCAATATAATAATAAGTACATAACATTAGTAACGATGTGCTAAGACAAGCTTATTTGTCAAATCATACTGTGACGCGTTGGTTTTTTTTTCTGAGTAAAGAGCTCTTGTTGTTCTTTAATATTTCCATTTCAAATTACCGGAAGTGAGGTGACAATCGCCGATTACCACATTTCATTGGCTCTTCGTAATGTTACCGCCACACATTGGCTCCACAATATTGAGCATGTAAATGTTCGAGTATAATTTCACAAATTCGAGCACCAGCTTTGCATAAACGATTCATGGGTCCTTAAATTTATTTGTTTCATGTTACATCAAACTTATAGTTACATAATATAATATTGTTACGTGTTAGGGGTTCGAAGGATTTGGAGAGAAAGACCTGCTGACTCTTTTGAAGACTTTATTCACTAGAACTAGGTCCAACACAAAGCACTAGATCCAAACACTAAGCACTAACAATGTCCTATTTTGTAGCCAAGTCGTAGGTTTCACTGGTATCGCTCTTGATCACTAGTTTTCACTCCGAAGTCGCCTCGAAGGTAGCTCAAACTGAACTGAGTCGCTCGCCTCCCTGCGGCTTTTTATATGGGCCGAGACCGGTTCCGGACTAATCCAGAAAGATCCTTCCTGGAACGTACCCGACACGCACGAACATGTTCGTGATTCCGGAAAGTTCGCGAATGTACCCGGTTTTCGAGACTAAAGTTCCACAGCAGTTCCTCTAACGCCATCTAGTGTTGAATAGGGGGTTTCATGTCGTCTTTGTTCTTTAGTGGTTTTAATAGTTGACGCTAGATGGCGTTAGTTCCATTGTGTGTTCATAACAATATGCATGCATCGGCGTTCAATGAAATTTTATAAAAACACTAGCGAACTCGACAGACGTTGTCTTGTACACAAGTAAATTTGAAACTTTTTTGAATATCTTTGTGAATCTAAACCACTCTCGAATCCACTTAAAAAAAATTCTTTTTCATTAAAATCGGTCCATCGGCCGTTAAGGAGTTCAGTGACATACATACGCACAGTTGAATTATATTTATATAAAGATGTTAGAATACAGGTTTTCAAAACCCTTATTTTTATTTCATGTACTATAAATATATACGTTACACAAATAGGAAAACTAATTAGTTCAGTAACTTTAACACCTCAAACGTTTTTTTTTTAATTAACTGATGAGCGTCATTGTTATGAAAAAGAACTTTTGTGTATCCTTAACTTTTTCTCTATTATATTAAAATGTCTGGTCTTACACCATAATGGATGCTAATTCGCATCACGAGTCTCGAATTGTAACTACTTGCTGAACACTAGTAATATCTATCACAAGTGTTTTATCCCCTGAATGAAGAGCATCTAAAATCATTAGACAGCTCGCAAATAATTGCACGTGAAAAGATTAGGGCGAACACCCACTTTAACGCGTCGGCCTACGTTCAGACATGTAAAATCAAGGCCTTGTGGTAGCATTATAATTGTTGACGTTACGACGTCCGCTGGTTGCAGTGGCTGTAGTGTTCGCGGGGGTTTTACTCAGTATTCAGTTACCAACTGTCCACGCGCGTTAGCTATTCGTTCGATTGGTTTCAAAATGAGCGTTATATGAACGGCGTGTAGAAGATAAAATAGGAATTGCTAAAACATGGCAGTGATTGATTTAAAGGTTTTCGGTATGTGGAATTTTTTTTCATGAATATTCTTTCATTAGCTGCTAACGCATTTTTGAACTTAAATTTATATCTTGACGATATACGTTAAAACTTGGGTAAGTATGAAAGTAATTTTATTCCCTAAAGTTTAAATATTACGACTACTATTTTATAATTTACCACACCATACCTTTTTCAACGTACTTTTCTCAATTTCCTCTAATTCAAATTTGTGTATTTGAATGCCAATACAGCATTATTGTGTGGGTATTGTATAATTTTTGTTTTATACAATATTACCCGACGAAGATAATAAAAGGAAATATATTCACCAGTTCATAAAAAATAAAGATGTAAATGTAATTATATAATTGAACTTGAGACTGTGACGTTAAGGTATTTTTATGTAAAAAAAAAATATATGTAACTAGATTAATTTTTTTAGTTTTCAATTATGATCATTAAATATTCATACTTTATTAAAATTAAATAATGTACCACATTATTTAATGTTATACTTAGCCGTTACTGTATTTATTTAGTGCGTAATAAATATTTGTAAATATTACCGTCACAAGTCTTATTGACTTATAACTAAAACTCGGGTATAGAACATACGATGGTAAGCTTGTATTTCACATTGGTGCAATGAAGTGAGACCACAAATGTACCTTTCGGATTAAATTATTTGTAAAAACTGCGTTCGCTATTTTTTTTATATGGACTCAGTTTAAGTTAGTTTGCTAATAAACATGAACTTTCCGAAATTGAAAATAACGGTTAAAAGTTGAAAACTTATATTACTTTGGTAACTTATGAAAGCGATAAATGAATAAATTATAAACATTATTTAACACATTTGAATGAATGTTGGTCGGTAAAATATCCGATATATAAAGAGGTCAACATTAAAAAAAATTGCTTTGGAAAGTATTCCGTTTTTATAAATTCCAAGTTTAACTGTAATATTCTCACAAATGAAAGGCTTTTGTTTTGCAAAATAATTAATGGTGGTGTTGTAAAAAAAGTTACTGTTATAATAGCTACTGTTAAAAACTTATAGCCTAAGAGTATTAAAATTTCATAAAAAGTTAATCCATTATATTTAATTTTGTTACCTTATTTGGTTAAAAATAAATAAGATTTTTTTATTTGTTATATATTCTACAGAATTATTTTAACACGTCATGAGACTGATGAACTAGCAATTCGTGTTTAGAGCAGGAAATGTGTATTGATTTTTGGACGCAAGTCGAAAAACTGGTGGCAGGCACTTATTCTATTCAAGTTAAGACTGATTTTGTACGGGAATATAGAAAAGTGTTGTTTTTAGACTTTTTAGCCAATTTTTTCTTTCATAAAAACCTTCTCCTGATAATAACAAACAACAAAAAAAATGTTGAAATCGGTCCAGCCGTTCACGCGTGATGGTTTGACCAAGGGAAATAGGGATTCATTTTTATATATATAGATAATCATAGATGTCATCCTACGTTTTTAATTCGTAAATCTAACGTTTGATTGACATTTACCTATTTGATAATATATTAGTTAAAATTCGTTAAATGACACCTCGTTCAAGTTCACGGAGTCGTCAAACCAAGTTTTTTTATATGTAGGTAGTATCTGTGTTGCGAATAAAGGCCTGCGTTAAAAATGCAGGAAATTTTACTCATAGGGGTATTACCCTGATTATAGAATCAGGATAAATATTGAATATGAGTAAAGAGAAATTTCTGCATAAATTGCATCCATTGCATGAGTTTTAAAATATGCGTAAACAACATGTAACCATTATTGCAAATAGTTAAGTTATAAAAATATGAAAGTCACAAACGATACGTAATTCGATTTTATACACTATCTATATTCGTCATTAGATTCTTACCTACTAACTATTATACTTTAAAGTCCTAATTTCTCCTTTACTAACTTTCGTATTTACCTGTATTCGTGGAAGTTCTATTTCTTGCAATCTATTTTAAGACCATCCTTTCAAACATGTATGGCCAGTTTTTATTAAGGCTTTTAGTAACTTCTTCTTACTAATGTCTGCGTTTACCTCTACAGTCCTCGCTTTGATGGCATATTATAAATAGGTGCAATAGTCGCATTCACGCTTCGGTTGTATAGGAGGATATCGATTTCTAAAAAAAGCTTACTTATAGGAGAAACCGGTTCATTGAATTATTATTATATTATTTGAAGATTATTGGGGTTTGGATAACGCTTTCTTAGTATTGATCTGTCATTCTTTATAATGGTAATCATTTATCGTAGAAGTGGTCGCATATACTGTTATCACTTAGGTACTTACTTTTTTAAGACACGGTAGAATTTGATTGCGTAGATTAGTTGTACGTAGATAAGTGGTAACAAGTTTTCGATTTTTTTTTTGAGGGAAGGACAATAATCACTTTTGTACTCTAGTTTTGAGCTGTGTTTGGCAACTAATTTACTACTTCACGCTGAATAGCTCTATGTAAGGCTACTCTTCTGTCGACCGTTTTTGGGGATAAAGACGGTAGCTTGTATTTAGTATTATTCATTGTTGAAACTATTTTAGTTTTGTAATCAGCTTTTTTGGCCTAAACGTTTACTACGATTTTTACTAAATCTTAAATGTTAGCACGCAACACAAATATCACACAATCACATACTTAGCTTAGGTTAAAAAGGTGAAATCCGATTTGATGTTGCATTTTGTAAAGAATTGTGTTATGTGTTTGAGTAACTCGATCGTTTGGTTTGCACCAAGACATTAACGTCAACAGTTGAATGTAGGATGAAGCCTCGCAATGTTATTAAATACCGAACGATGTTGACGTTCGCCAAGTTGGAACGCTGACGATAAAAGAATGGTCGAACGCGCACCGCGAGTACGTGATTTTATCGGATTCTTATCTCGAATGGGTACAATTGATTTTCCCTTTAATACTTTATTTCTCATATTTCTTCGATCGCGTAATAATCTCATTAATGTTGCATTAGAACACGATTGATTGATTGATTATCTTCAATCTAGATATTATCTTTTGATTGGACACGACTACATTTTTTTCCTCGTACTTGTATATTTTATGTATACATGTATTAGTGTATAATATTGTAAATGAATAGATTGGAAATTTAAATTGTTTATAGTGCTAATTTTTGCATTTTCTACATATTTTAATGAATAGATTGGTCAATAAATAAAACAATAAAAGCATCAGATAGGCTCATCTCTATTATGAACCCGTGTGAAACTGAATAAAGCATTAGTAGCTTATAAAAGATGGTGTTATATTAAAAAATATACTTTGTTATCTATTATTCACATTCGTGTCTCCTCAATTAGTTTTTATGTAAAGTTACCGCAGCTTATACTTTTTTACTTTATGTGCCCCTGAATAGCACTCAGTTTCTATACAAAAAAAAATTACGAATCTCTAAATTGTAATTATATAAATGATGAGTTGTAAGCGTTGCCGAGGTCATTCTATAAAACCCCCTGACAATGAACCATTGTGGTTTATGTTTACTCATTTCCTTTGTAGCTAATGTCGATTTCGCAGACTAGCAAAATGAAAATATATACATTTATACTTATACCAGCGGACCGGACAGGAGTTGTCCTGTATACACGACTTAAATCCGACAACAACTTATAAAACGAAAAAAATTTAGTGGACCGAATTGTGAATCTAAACCATCCTCGAACCTGAAGACACAAAAAATTTCATTAAAATCGTTCCAGCCGTCTAGGAGGACTTCAGTGACATACACACGCACAGAAGAATTATATATATGTATAAAGATAAACCTATTTTACGTATTTTATCGCGTTCGATTAGATGACTGCCATAACAGTGATACCACTAGTATTTTTTTACGTGAGAATAATCCTTTATGGATTCTACGCTGCTCGGATGGTGAATCAGGAAGGTTATGTCCAGGGAGTCGACGATAGCGAAATTGAGATTTTCGTAGGTGTGAAGATAAGCTGTTTAGCTCAGTGGCTGGAGCATCAGGCGGGTATCCCGGAGGACGCAGGTTCAAGATTAAAAAAATATATTTTCTCTGAAGTGCAGAGAAGAGCACTACAAAGATTAATATAATAATATGCCTTACAAATTGAACCATTGAGTAATCAAATTTAAAAAATGTTTTATAGAAAGTATATAAGTTTTTTTTAAATAGGCCAAATAGAGTATAAAATCTTTAGAACGTAGGTCTAGTTATGCAGTATATGCAGCATATTCTCTATCGATTGAAGACTTCAGTCTTCAAACCACGAAGGACATAGCAGTGGCTAACGAGACTAATCTCCAAACGTAAGCCTGCTATAGGCCAATAGTCCATCAGGTGTAGAACGACCTTCCACAAGACGACCTGTGCAAATGTGCGGGAAGTCGATGGATGCAGGTGACTCAGGATCATTCTTCATGGCAGTCCGTGTATCCAGTGTCCCCTTCAAGTCGCTTTTTACGACAGGCTGGGGATACCTTATTACTGTTCTATGACCCCGGGACCACAGGGCTGACAGGGCGGTACATGCGCTTCTACTGGCCTGACATCTTCACCTCCGAGTGAGATCAGCCCTCTCTCAATCCCGCTCGTTTTTTAGGTTTTCGTACCCAAAGGGTAAAACTCTATTACTAAATACTGGTACGGAACATTTCGAGCGCAAGTCCGACTCACACTTGGGCGGTTTTTTATTATTAATGTAAGATAAAATGTGTTCTGTGTTGTAGAGGTTTTATTAAAATGAATAATGTTCCAATTTGTATAATGTTCCGGCTACGAATTGACCCCACGATGTACAGCGCCGAAATGCCCCTAGCATAACTACTACGCCAAGTTATCCATCGTTTAGATCATAAAATGCGAACAAATATGTATATGGTTGAATAATATAGTACAGAAGAGAAAGTTTATGCATATTATGTCGCATGCGCATTCACATGAAAGATTATGTTACATTAAGTTTATGTTATATTTATGATTTTATTTTTTACATGAAACCATTTATATAAATTGATTTACAAACATACACACATTCAACTAGTCTAACACAACTTGTTTAAACTACTAAATCTGTCTTAATCAGACTTATCTTAATTAGATTCTACTTCACTTAAAACTCTCGACATATTATTAAGTTACACTATGTTATGTAAAGCGTGCGGATTTTCCTAAAACTGTACGTTAATGCCTGAAAGATTTAATATGTGTTGATTATGTATAGTTTTTCACTTCCCTTTTGGATATGTGATATTAGGAACCCTGTTACCTGTAATTCTTAATAACCCTGGAAACATGTAGTTAATATTTATATATATCGTTCTAAAAAAATCACAAATGTGATGACGACCAGCATATTTTCGAATTAATTATAATAATAATGATATAAATTTTTCGAAGATATGCGAAATCCGCCAATTCGCGGTAGGATCGTGTGGTGGACTATGCACTAATCTACCTACCTACCTACCCTTTGTGCAGATGAGGGCATTTTCCAGCTGTGTTGCATATAATTATTGACTGTTACTTTTGACATAATTATTCGTATCATTACTTATTCAAATTATGCAAAGCTGTGACAAAAACTTGTTGAAGCGTTATCAGTTGCGAACAAGTTTATCTTTGTCATATGTGGTATACTAAGTTCTTTGACATTTAGGTTCACGTGTTCGAACATGCATAATTAATTATTCATGTTTATATATACCTTACAGGCCTCCGAAATTAAAATTTTTAAGTTCTCATTAATATATGAATGACTTTTTTAGTACCGGGCGAGTTGAACTATAAATAGCGTTTGCTGTGGCACTTTGAGAATGATTTCTTTTTATTATTATTTTTTTAAACGTAATAGAAATAATTTTATACAAATAAAATTTAAACTAAAAGTATTAGTTACGTGACAAAACATGAGGTTATGTAGATATATATTTTTGTCTAGCTATAAGTAGCAAATTTATTTACTTTTTATTTATTTACTCTTCATTTAGCATCTGCCATCCGTTTTGCACCATGATAAGCGTTGACTGGTAGAGAATACAATTCGGCATTAAGTCCATCCATTGTAGCCTCCAGCATAAGTTGTAGTAATAAAGTTTACATAAAATAAATAAATAACTATTTATTATCTAAATGAGCGACCGTGTGTCGTGAATCTTAGGTCTAGTGTTGAAGCAGCAGTGGGTCGTGTAGCTTTTGGTTTAGTGTTGTTCTGAAGCTGCAGCTGGCTAGGGCAATTCACCAGTCGCGGTTGTTGAACAGCGAGATTTTCTATCATGGTTTGCAATTGTTGCAATTGTTGACAATACAGATCTGCCGTAATCGTCTGGCCAGTTCTTAAGAGGCTGTAGCGCAGGATATCCGCACTGGTCCACCAAGTATCTTTTTCCGAGTCAATCTTCGCTTGGGAAAGGGTTTGGCCCGTTCTCCTGGGTTCAACCACTGTGATGAGCGTTTCCTATTATCGCACAGGATCAATTTTAAGTACGGCTCAAAATTCCTTCGTTATTGTGCCAGTTGAGTAATGTAACGGAACACTTAATACGACTTTGGTCATGTGCTTAACTCAATTCATGCAGTACCGATTTCTCGAGCTTTTTGCCTTTGCCCAATTTGTTACAAGTGAATTAAACTTTTTTTCACATCCACATCGAAGATTGCCGCTAACTCTAACGAGGATTGCGACGGATCTGCTACAACGATCGCCTTTAATTCTTCGCTTTCAACCAGGGTGTTTGGTCGTCCACGTGGTTTGATCTGTAGGTGAACATTAGTTTTCCCAAACACATCATTAATTCTTGGAGTTGTTCCCACAGCGTTGGATCCACGGTGGAACTCGTATTCGTAAATAACGTGGTATTTTAAAGAAAAATCAAATCGCGAAAAACAAATGAATCACTAAATTTGAAACACAAATACAAAAGCTTAAATTGAGTTTGGAATTCAAATATAAGCAAAATATCAAATATTTGAGAATAAAGTGGCCCTATCGATTAAACGCCAATTTGATATGTAAGGACCTAATATTGTACTTCTGGTTAAGCGTATGTATGTATGTATCTCTTTCTACTTCTAAAAAAATTATTTATGTCAAATACAACAAAATGAGCCCTTGTTTCATGTTTAACCCTTATAAGATTACTCCTTTGTCCATTTGTCTGTCCATGTCACCACCGATTTCTCAGGAAGTGAAGGACCTGGCAAGTTGAAATTTATAACCAGATACTGAGGTCCCTAGTAGGTGTATAAAAATCCCTAGGTGTATAAAGGTCCTGAGTCAACACAATAACAAAATATGGGCAAATTTAGATTTTCGCGAAAACTTGTAAGTACCATAAATTACCTTAATTTTCTGAACTTTTTATTTTTTTGGAATTTTCCCTTTACTTGTGCTATTAGCCCTTGCTTTTAACATATTAAATATAGTCGAAAATAACATATATGAATTAGTACTTTATAACAATTAAAAATTAATCTAAAGTCAAATGAAAATTGAAAGAGACGATTTCTTTCAATATTAACCGAAACGAGGAAAGAAGTTGTAATTGAAGAGTATGTTTAAGCTTCATTGGAAAGGCGACTGCAGTTTGGCGAAATGCATATATTCATAAAACATATTTAGCACTAGGAGTTTTAGACATGCCGTCATTGATGAGCGCCATCATGAAATGCCTTCACGTGGTAAAAAAAACTCGCTTTAAAACGTAAACAGTTGAGCCGGCACCGGAAATTGATGTGCGAACGACAACGATCAAACACTAATGCGACCCAGGCGACGTTTTTGTGGCAGCGTCGGTAAAAAGATTTAGTGAATATTTAGTTACAAGTATTTTATCGTATCTGAAAACAGATTTTATAATATGCTTCGGGCACAGAGAACACTTATTGTCATAAACAATTAGGTTCGGTTGGTCGACTGACATAATGTGCACAACATTACAGCATTTCATAAGACAGTGGGTTATAAAGATCAAGAACATGCGACATGACTTAACGTGTAATATATGATTTGTTTTGTGGTTAATCATATAATTTAGATGAGTTTTGATTACTTGTGGTTTCGTAATTCTTTCAAATCCGGAAACTTCATTATCGGACATGCTTTAGATTAGATTAGAGCGATTCGATACTTTCTGTGGTAGGGCCACGCTGCAGCTGTCGGTTGTTGCACGAATGGGCAAATCGGTCCGTGTAAGTAGCACGACCTTACGGAAGATCGGCTTGAAGTGGAAGGCGAAAAAAAAACAGGCGACCACCTAAGACTGTTGCGTGGCCCTACCACTTCAAAACGGCCGTACCACGACGCTACAAAAGACCGGCGTGAAATGGTAGTATTACACTATCGCGATTCATCTAGTGTGGTACCCGGGGTCCACTTTTTCAAAGGTTGTCAAGGAATATATAATATCTAATATATATAAGCCGTCAGGTGTTTTAGATGTTCGAGGGTGGCAGTAATAACTTAGGTACATCTAGTGAACCGCCTTACGCTTGATAACTTTTCACATAACGAAAAACTACTAACACTTTACAGAAGAATCGTCAGCTCGTTTCCCAGTTTGTCTAATAAAAAAAGAGCTAAATCAAATTCGATGCAAAAATATATATCTTATGCAAAAATAGATAATCTTTAAAATGACGTCATAAATGACGGAATTCTGAGGCAATGAAGGTAAAAAAAACGCACTAGCAAATTGAGAACCCCCCTTTTTAAAGTCTGTTTAAAAATACTTGTCAATTAGACTTGACAAATAATTGTTACTTAAGTGAAAATTTCTACTAGTGCTATAGGTACAAGCTTTAAGATTCGTGGTATGACCTGTCTCCGTTTCTCTACCCGGTTAATAAAGCCTATCGGGTTTTGTAATAAAATAAGCCCGTTGAAACGTCCCTTGCTATCTTGTTTGGGTTTAAACGCGTAAGTGCTTGTTTGGGCACGTTTTGTAGGAAATTCAATGGAAATTACCGGTAAAAGTGTAACTGGATTTTATGTGGAACGGGTAACGGTTGGATACGACCTTTTGTTGACTAAATAAGCCTTAATTAACTTTTATTACACTTAGAGTAGTTTCACCTGCATGTTTATGAATTCGTAAGGGAATCTTCGATTGTTATTTTCATCCACTTCCAAATGTCTGATTAGTTGGAATTATCCACACTTCTCAAGGACCGATGACAATGCAATAGTTAAGTTTGTCCCATTATCGTAACTAGAGTCATCAGGATTAACGATTTCCTTCCTGGAGAGGGTGCTTGAAAAACGGAATTAAACAGTTAAAAATAAGTTATAGTTGAAAAAATAACTAATAAACACGCTTTAATAATAGGGCGAAGTAAAAAAGTAAAATTTAATATTTTTAATACTTTTCATGTTAGGATAAAATGATTAACATTTGTGAAAGTTAATGTCAATGTAAAAAGCGTAGGGTGCTTTATACTACATTGCACGTTTTTTTTAAACTATAATTTATTATGCTCAAACTCGCAGATTTCCAATAAATTTTCCTTACCAGCTGATCACACTAGATCAACACAATATAATTGCAGTTGGCATGTATGGTACATGAGTAGTAGTTAAAGTAATAATAGTATTTATTTATAATATGTTATATACCTATGCATCTTTTATAAACGACAATTGCGAAATTTAAAAGCGATCCTCTTCGCGATAAAATATTTGATAAGGCTGGTACCTATATATGGTAAATACGTACAACCTCAATATATGTATAAGTATTGATTTAACCACCGTTATTCTACTGATAAACGTCATTTAGGTCTCAATAAAACGAATACACGAACATAAAGGAGCTTAAGGATAACGGTATAAACATGCCGAGGAGAAAGACAGAGGCGCATAAAGTTTGCCTTTAATACCTTTTAAAAGCACTTTAACTTATGATTTAACTCTACATTTCAGACGTGATTCCGACGAGATTGAACCTATGGCTCATGATATTTACGAGTTGCTGGGTGGTGTACATGTTGCGAGTGAACATGAGTTTAAATCTTATCGCCATGGTGCCCTCACCGCCTAGAAACGTCTCGTAAGTCAACAAACTACGCTTTGAACGGATTTTTCCACGAGTTGTTTTTTTCCAATAATTATTTTATAGGCAAGAACAGATGTCGAAAAACGACTACGAAGTAATGATGCCATTCTTCTTATTTAGGGTATTCGCTGTGTGCTGAGCAAACGAGGAAAACAAATTACCTGTCAGTGTGCTTACATATGCCGGGGACAGAGTTAAATATTTTAATTTATTCAGATTAAATATTAAAAAAAAGATGTTTTAAGATCTTCAGAAGAGAGTTTTATGTGGATTATAGATACGGTGTTTCATTTCAAACTAAACATACATAACTTTCGCTACGTACAATGATACTAGACGTTTTGATAAAATAATTAAATATCATAAATCAGAGAGTCAAATTTACAACAGAGAGGGCCTTTTAAAAATTTGTATCATTCTGCACCACGGTTTCACAGAAGATCGGGATGAGTTAAAAGTATTAATTTCCTTGTGTTATAAGTATAATACAGCCCTTACACTGCGTAGTCGGCAATATTTAAGCCATTTCTCTGGTGTTGGGCGGGCGGTCCTCGTTTAACATCATATATAACTATAGCATAGACATCTATAGCACCCGAGTGGTTGTAAATGCGTTGCTAATCTTTAAAAAGTGGGTCCCGGTAACCACATTCGCTCGTCGAAACGCGCAATTATTTCTACTTCAAGCCGGTCTTATGTGCGGCCGTGGCACTTCCCCGACGAGCCTGCCTATTCGCAAACAACAGGAGCTGCTGCGATGCCTTACCACAATTACAAATATTACAAATCTGTGCACAAACGGTTTCACGCGGATATACACGTATAGAGTACAAAATCTAACTTTTTTTAGGCCTGGCTCCCATTCGTCAAGTGTCATTTGGGTATTGCGATAAGGAACTTCGTTCCAAAAAAATATTTTAACCAATGTACATGTACTAAAATCATGTTTTTTATCTGTGTACAGAGTTAAATCCCAGTGCGGTTCTTCGAATGATGCTTTAGTTAATAAAAGCGTACATAATGCCGACATTGCAGATATAAGAGAGGCCCCAAGACAGGTATGATTTGTCTATTTGTTAAATTTTAACAAACTATAAAATTTGTTTTGTTTGCTAATTAGGTTCTCTGTTACCGTTTAATTTCAAAAAACAAAGCGTGGTAGAAAATTATTCTCTCACTTCAATATAAGGCTAATCACGCACACTAAGTCACAGCAAGGCACAGGTAGGTGGCGTTAACTGAAGAACCCCGTTGAAAATTTAATTTATATTGCCCACATTTATATATAGTATTGTAAAATAGTTACTTATATGCAACCTTAGCAAAGGCGCCACTGCGAAGGGTCTCTTAGGCCATCAAACCAAGACAATATCTTTGGACCACGTAATACATTAATGTGTTTAGTATTAGAGGAGATTAATGACTTCGAGCGGATGAGGTGATGGCAGTTCTAATCACAACACTGGAAATATCGTAATATACGTCAAGGCACAAAGTAAAGAAACCGGTTTAAAAATTCGCGCAGAGATCGATATTTATATAAGGACTTTATTTGCTTGACGACTGTTAGCTTGATTTATTTCATCCCAAAAGACCAAATGTAAAGATCCAAACTAAGTAATGTCAAATAGATTACGTTATTTGATTATGATACACCAGTCATACCACTCACACCCGTAATTTTTTTAGTAATATTTTTGCCATAAATGTATAATTTTGAATTTATATGGTTCAGAAAGAAGGGAGGACGTCGGCAGGTTATTCAGACATGGATTCTTCGTATAACTTGATTCGATATATTTGAAACACTTGAACATAGAGGTACTGAAAAACTTGTACATACGCCTTTTTAGGTAGGACATTTTTTCACATTGTGTGCTAATAATGTAATTTTTTTGTAATTAATTTATTTAAAATCACGCGATTGATAGAAAAATTTAATGATAATATAATAATCTTTATAATCTTATTATACAAAATATATTTAATGTACTCAGTTTTTGTGATTCGTCTATACACAATTAGATTCATAAAATTCAAATTTAAGTCAAACTATTCAAGATTCAAATATCGATGCTATATTGATGTTTCATCGAATTTAGACCAAAATAAACTTTTTTTATTTATGACATGGCAAATGAGGAAGGTGTTCAGCTTATTTAGAATGGGCACCGTAAGAAAATCTTAATTAAAATATGACAACATTTATAATATTTATATTTAATACAATAACAACAACAACAAGCTCCCTTTTTCTTTGGTACCAAATAGCTTTTGGTATGTGTGCCTCTTGGCTTCGCCTTGGGGGACTAAGCTACAGCTACTAAGCCATTCCGCCACGACAATGGAGAACCTGATCGGAGGGATCCCGGAGTCGAGCTTAGCCATTTTTTTATTTGTTGTTTCGGTACATGTAAACATTGACATGAATTAAGATTAAAGCTGTTATTTTTGCTACAAATAGACTTATCATTTCATTTATTTGTATAGATTTTTTTAGACGAATTTGTGGTATCTTCCCTGCATACAGCAAGAAATAGCTTTAGAACTATCAGAGCTTTATTAAGCTTGTAAAAAATCCTTAATGTGACAGGTGATGAGCTCGCCACTATCCAAGGATATTATCTACTCTGCAACTAGTCCATCACTTCTGTATACATTATGTTTTATTTCTGTAATAAGATATTTAAATACGAATTAGACTATAAATATAAAATTTAGATGCGATTCATTAGGTACCTACCGAAGTAAATTGCGGTCATTTCAAATTACATGTCAGAAATTCATAAAGTATGGAATCGATAATCATTTGCGTATTTAGCTATATCGCAATTTTATTTTTCCGGTTAACATTATCGAACTTTCGTTTTTTCACGGTATGTGCTATTCAATTACACTGCGCTGTAATAAATTGCAAACTACAAATGAATTTATTGTTTCAAATCTTTGTTGCTTAGTTTTTTAGGTAATAGAAATATATTATGTTTTTTTCACTATCCACACTGAAGGTATACATTTCCCATTGTAAACCTACAGTGGACAATGTTTGGGTTTCATAAATATTTGTCTCGTGAGAGTCCTAATCGCAATTCGCGATACCGAAAACAATAACTCGGCAACTGTGGCACACCGTCACACAATTTCAATAGCTCAAATAAAAGTTACTTATTTGGTCCCCAGACATTTATTAATAGTTCATTATACTATATATTTATCATATAATTTACTTGCCCTCAGTTTTACTGCTATATTAAAAAATGTATTAGAATTTTAAAACTAAGTATGTATATTTGATTGTTTTAATTTTGGTAATCTAACAAAGATATAGATGATTTGGTTCCATAGAATGTATTTTTTTTATTTTGACGAGGACGTTTTTAATAATTTCAGATAATGATTTAGAGAATAACCAATACATAGTTTATAATAATTTTTATGGCATTATCCCTTTTTTAATTAACGGAACCCTAACAAAATCCAAATATAAGTGTTTACTTAAATATTAAATGTTTTAGGACACATTTTACACAATATTCTCTAGTCCCAAACTAAGCAACGCTTGTACTATGAGTACTAGATAATTGATAAACATAATTCAACATACTTTTCTTTTGTAAATAAATACATATTAAGTATATATAAAAACCCAGACACTGGAAAAACACTTTGTTCATCACAGGAAATTTTTCCAGTAGTGGGGATCGAACCCAAAGCCTCTGGCGCAAGAGACAGGTTCATTACCCACTAAGCCTGTTGGGTCGTCTTTTTTAGGATTCTTGTAATATTTTTTTAATATTAAGGGGCGCGTTCTGGAATGACCTTTAATGTTTACAGGTCTCTGGCGGTGTGTTCGATTGGTCAGCGGAGCAACAGGCCATGATCCTTGGCGCATATTTCTGGTGCTACCCCGTGACGTCGCTGGTGGGCGGCATGGCTGCTGAGCGATGGGGCCCCCGATACGTTGTACTCATCTCGTCCATCGCTAGCGCTGTACTGACGGCCCTGGGGCCAGCTGCAGCTAGGCTGGACTACGTGGCGCTAATCGTGACGCGTTTCTTCCTTGGTTTCGCCGGGGTGAGATTTAAAAAACTCTTTAGCTGCATATAGGCTAGATGTAGGTACACAATGTTTGTATAGATTTGATTATACATAATCTAAAAATAAATTAAGAGGCGAATAGATTTTTTTACGTGTTATGTTTTTAAATTGGCACCTTTCATTTCTCTATGAACAGTTCGTGGATAAAAGAAATTAACTGTTACAATGTAAGGAATGAATTAATACGCGGTCCAAAGTTATAACGAATTTTGGTTGGGGTTGATGATTGTGTATGTCTTATCCAGTACCATCTATCTTTTTCCAATCAAAACTCTGGAATTTGTATTAATTCCAACTAGCATTGTTCTTAAGTATTATTTTTGAATTGATTTGAGGTGAAATATCAAATAATTTTACGTGACAGATTTTTGTATATATTTTTGTCATTTATATGTATTTCATCACGTATACAGCGTGTCTTTACAATCGCGACAATAAATGAACACACATATAGAGGATAACTTTTAAAATTGTATTAAACATTTACATTCTTTAAACATCAATATTTACTGAGTTATTAAATTTCCCAAAACAAAGAATTTTAGAAAGGTCACAAAGCATATGAATGGATTGAATGAATTTAAAAGAGATAAAATATACTGTTAGAAGGAGAGGCTTGTAATGCGACACTGTGGCAACGAATGAGAAAATCTCGGAATGTATGAATCAGTCAGTTGTAGTTGTATAGCATGTTACAAATTTTGTTTCTTTTTTACTTAATTAGTTTGTTTGAAAAATATTTTTTTTTAATAATGGATTTTTTTAACGTTAATATTTTTTATGATTATTGGCAAGTAGCGTTAGACGTGTGTTCATTTATTGTCGCGATGGTAACGACACACTGTATATATTAATCTATGTTGCAAAGCCGTTAAACAATTAAACGCACAGTTACAAATTACCACTGGCTAACCAAATAGATAAGGATATTCTTAGATTATCAATACGTAAACAATATTAAATTATTTTTTATACCATATCATTATTATATATTTTAAAAAAACAACATATAAGCGTAAACAAAGTTATGACTTATTCATATTATATTGTACAGCTGTCTTATGATATTGACATATTTTAAATTTGAACGACATTAATGTTTTAATTGTTAAGGAGAGAATTTTTTAATAATATAGTTATTGTGTCTAAAGAAGTCAAGTCGAATAACTTAAATCCAAATACGTATAAATCAGGATAATAAATTCCCATGATAACTTATTGGTGTGTCGTCACAATGATTTGCAGTGTGATTAGCGCCGTACAAGTGAAGACGAGCATTGTTTATTGTTCAAGGACAATATTGTGTGTTATTTTCTTGCGGTTTCATGTAGTCAGTATTAGATGAAGTTAATTTCCACGTGATACTCACAATACCAAACCTTTTGAAAGTATAAGATATTAAAGAGTATTACTTCATAGAAGAGTTTAATTTATAATAGAATAATTGGATATAATATAATTTGATAATAATTGAATAATTGAAATAATTAATCCTTTACACCTTCGATGCGTTAACTGTGGGGTGTCTGGTGCCCGCGAGACAGTTTACCTGAACTAGGAATTAGGTCATACGCAAAATTACGGTAAGTTGACTGAAAGTTTCAAAACGCTTATGTATAATTTGTTCGTATGTTTCATTTATTTTATTAACTAAACTGAGCTGCCCTATAGGGTAATAGTTAGCGAGTGGTTTCATCTGAGTGTTACTATCGTCAATCCGTCCAGTAAAAACGATGTGTCAATATGACAGTATCGACTTTCAATTATCAATGGACTAAAGTACCTAATTTACTACCTTAGCAACTATCTGTAGGTAGTGAAATTTGCGTACGAAATATGGTGTTTTATTTCAGGGCTTCATATATCCAGCTCTTCACGTATTAGTGGCCCGATGGGCGCCTCCAGCCGAGAAGGGGAAGTTTGTAAGCGCTTTGATGGGTGGCACACTAGGTACTGTGGTGACTTGGTCTTTAACTGGACCCCTCCTGGAGAAATTTGGATGGGCGACTGCGTTTTACGTGCCGGCCGCACTGACGCTAGTATGGTGTGGTTTATGGTGGTATTTAGTTGCCGACACACCTACGGAGCACCCTAGGATTTCGGAACAGGAGAGGAAATACATTTTAGACGCACTTGGAGACAGGGTCAAGAGTTCTAAGGTGAGCAAATATTTGCTGGCTCGTACGTGCAAATATGCATTACTTTGACAGTATAGTGTTATTTTTAGATGTGTGATACCGATAAAATTTTTGACGAACACGGCAATATTGCCATGCATGTGTGATTACATTTTTACACTGTAATTCAAGCATTATTTATCGGATCCAATGAATATGCTGTGAAGTATGTTAGTGAACTTATATGGCTACAGTATTTTGAAGTTTTAAAGTAATGAAGTGCTCGCCTTCAATTTTAGGAATTATTGGATCTCAAGCTGATGGCAAAGACCAAACATGTTTTCTGTTGTTTGGTTATTTATTTGAATACCCTCGTTACGAGGAAACCAAACTAAAATATATGCGAAGTCTCCACAAATTAAATGATAACAGGATGACGACTGTCTTGTAACTGAGAGATTAGTTATTGATTTTGATTATAACGTTTACTTCCAGGGTTTCCCGCCATTCAGAAGCATCTTCACCTCGTTCCCGTTTTTGGCCATGGCCGTTCTTCACTACGGAAACTTATGGGGCCTATACTTCATAATGACAGTCGGGCCGAAGTTCGTATCAAGCGTTCTCGGTTTCGAACTGACCGCCGCTGGCATCGTGTCTGCCCTGCCGTACCTCGCGAGATTATTCTCCGCCGCCATATTTGGGGCAGTTGGTGATTGCATACTGTCGAAAAAGCTAATGAGTACGACGGCGATAAGGAAATTCTTCTGTTTGTTCTCGCACATTCTGCCCGGTGTATTGCTAATACTCCTCGTGTACACTGGATGTTCTACGGCCTTGTCCGTCACGATGATCACGATGTCGATGGGTTTCAACGGGGCCGCGACGCTGACCAATCTACAGAATCACCAAGACCTGGCACCAAATTACGCAGGAACTTTGTACGGCATCGCGAACTTTGTTGGGAGCACGGCAGGCTTCGTTACCCCTATTATAACGGCCTATTTCACGCGAAACGGGGTAAATATATTGATTTTAAAGCAAATATATTTTCGTTCATGTTTATTATCTTCGTTTAGCACCTGCCATCTGCTTCTCACCAAGACAAGAGTTGCCTGGCAGAGAACGCCATTAGGCATTAAGTCCGCCCATAGTAGCCATTAGCTAAAGGTGTAGTAATAAAGCTTAAATAAATAAATAACTATTGTTATCTTTTTATTACATTTTCAGTGACTTTCATTTGTAAAATGATTTCTTTTTCTATGTCCACAGAACAGTTTTGATCAATGGAGGCCAGTATTTTTCGTAGGCGCATCGGTTTATATCGTGTCGGCTGTCTTCTTCATCCTATTCGGAACTGGGAATATACAGCCGTGGAACTTTATAGACGATGACAAGGACAGTGATAAAACTAAGAAGGGCGAACGCAAGGAGATGAGCGAGATAACAATTAAAAATGAAAGTTATCGAGATCGCAAAGACACCTCCTTGAGTGTCACTTCGTAGTGCCGTTATAAATTAATGCCATTTCTCGTTGTAGGAATATAAATTGCTAAATGCACGTGAACTAACAAAGATGGGTATTAGCACCGGATTTTATGTTTATATAAAACAAAATAAGATTTTGACTATAATTAAATTTTGCTATTTTTTGTAGTGAATGTTGTATCTAAATATAATTTAATGATTTTAAATCAGAAATTAATTTCATATTATATTGACATGGAACTTATTTAGAATTTAACTATTGTGATTGTTATAACCAAAAACATTGAAGTTGTAAATGATTTCATTTCTATATAGAATGTCACAGTTACCTTAGACTAGGAAAATAAGCAGTTTCCGTCCATTTATCGCCTTATGAATATGAACAGTAGCCGAATAATGTTATTTTAGTTATTAACTAACTTTCGAGTCCATTAACTCATTGGTTTAAATCTCTAAGGCCTCTAAGAATGGATATTCTAAAATTCAACGATGTAGACGATAACGATTAAGAAATGCAACAAAGCACAAGGCGAAGTTATATCCGTCTTAGTTGATGTGTGGCGATAGCAGCAGGCAGCAGTTATTTTAGCGCGAATTGTTCTGCAGACTGATCTTTTTTATTCTTCATGCTTTTAAGTTACATATGACTACCATTACATTTCAGTTTTGTAAGTGACACCGACGATGAAAAAGATTGTATGATGGTGTGTATGTAGAAGTGCCAAAAATTACACTTGTTCGATTCTTGTAATAATTGTATAATGTTTATTTTACGAATTCGTGTGTCCAAATTAGGTTGAATTTTAAGACTGTTACTCATTGAGCGGAAAGCAGCGTTTCTCAAACTACATGTATTTGAATTAGCTTAAAAACGACTGTTAAATATTTGTAACGATGAATTTTTACGGTGTTTAAATGTATGTAAGATCTATTGTATTCCAATTTAAATATTAAACATATCTTATTAAACAGTATGTCAATTCTACCACATGTCACTTAGTACCCTAATCTTATACATATTATTTTAACTCATCAGCACTACTATAAAGCATTATCATTCATGTCGGCCATGGAATAATATAAATAAACCATTAATGTATAATTTTGACAAATTTCCTTATTTGTTTAGGAATGATTAAAATTAGAGTCCGCGTGATAGTAAGTGCATTTAAATTCATTTATTATTATAATTTAATTTAAATACTATTATAATATTATGTATTTGAAGGTTGGAATTATGATATTTTTAGGTTACTTCCTTATATACAACGTACGTTATAACCTAAGCGTACATATTGTCGATATGTTGCAAATATCAAAGAGAGAGACACAAAAAAAATTAATATATTTAAAAAGCAGTAATGATACCAATCGGAAGATATCAGATACGAGAATTGGGGTTAGTAGATTGCTAAACGTACTGTATTTCAGCCTGTTCATGGCGATTTTTGAACCACACTTATTGTTTTGCGCAGAAAGTTCTTGACGTGATGTTTTGGGATGACATGAAAATGGCGCAACTATTTTCCGCTTACCACATAGGCTATTGTATATGTTTTCCCATATTTCATAATATTGGCGATAGGTGAGTATACTTTTAAGCAGTTATTTGTATTTAAATATTATCGAGTAAAACTTCAATAAAATGAACTTAATAGATAAATTGTAAAATTTTGACTTGGCCATAGATCACTTATCTCATCATATATGTTAAAAATTTGTGTATCAGCGTTTGTCTTTCTATTTTTACTGTAGGTCGTTTTCGTTATCTTTAAGGGGCCAAATGAGGTTAAGCGTTAACGTCATTGAGAACGTTAATAGTAAACTGTTTAACTGACATTTCTTAATTGCTACGACTTTAATATTTATTGTATTAAAAAAATATTTCTTAAAACATGCGTGAACTTAAAACATGTGTAAACTCTTGTTTTTACCTTTTTACGCAGTTGGAAGTTCAAATTGATTAGCACTATAAAAAATTAGCGAGATTTCTCCTTACATAAGTGAAGGTGTATCTGTAAAGACAATCTTCTGAGGCGTTACGCAGCTTTTGTCAAAGTAGTTTATTTTTTACTCTCATAAATATTCATGTGCACTATTTCAGTCTCGTTTCGGGTTAGGAACTTTATAATTGAGCATTACCCCGTTCATGCTCCAAATGGCATTGCCAATTTAACATTTATTGTCAAAAGAAATAAACTATCGTGTTTAAATAAACTATAGTCGGAGTGGAAAAATGACTAGAAACTATTTGGTAAAAAATGAAGTAAATAATTAAATAACATTCACAGGTTGGGACCCACGTGGGTAGTAGGAATTGCTGGCATGGTATCGGGCATATTAAACTGTCTTACCCCCGCGTCTGCTTACTACGATTTCTGGTCGATGTTCTTTGTACGCGTCATAAAAGGATTTTGCGCGGTTAGTGTGATAATAAACTTCGTTACTAATAATATAAACGCGTAAGTTTTTATGTATGGATGTTTGTTACTCTTTAACGCAGAAAGTACTGAATGGATTTTAATGAAACTTTACAATAATATAGCTTATACATCAGAATAACACATAGGCTATAATTTATAAAGACAAAAGTGTCTCAGTTACGTGTTCACGACTAAGCCGCAGAACCAATTTGAATTTTATAAAGATAGGTCCTAGGAGAAGAAAACAAGCTACTCGAAGTACTAATCCTGCGCAGGCGAAGTCTCGGGCACCAGCTAATAGTATATAGTTTTATAGATTTTTTCATAGCATTCATTCGTTATGAATTAGACATTTATTTATTGACATGATTTTTAGTATGTTATTTTTTAAAACTTTTAAATTTTCAATCATAAACTTTTATTAATTAAAATAACTTTAAAGCTCGTAGGTATCTAAACAATAGCCTAAACAAATATAAACATGATGTTATAAAATGGTGAGATTTGAGAGTAGCTTCTCTTTTTTCCTAATAGGGAGCTATGTTACCAAGCATGGTGCAAGTATTGAGATATTGGGTGCCACCAATCGAGAGACATCATTTCATGTGGGCGTATTGTGGTTAGTTGGATTTTCTACAAATTATTTCATTCAAAGACGACTAACCTTTAGTGTAAATGGCAAATACAACCCGATACATTATATATGGCTGTCATTTACGGAAAGTATCAGAGTACGCTACGCGACAATAATGTGGATTGACACACATTTTCGATATTTTTTTAAATTTCTTCTTAGAAGTACAGGTATACTATGTTTCAGCCCTGTAGTTCCGGGCTCGTAGAATAGTACTAAGGTATCTCCTGCCTGTCGTAAAAGGCGACTAAAAGGGGACACGGATTGGCAGCAGCTCGAAGTGGCCTCGAGCTGCTGCAAGATGGCGAGGGAACCGGGGAAGGTTTAACCCTTCTCCGAGGCGTGCTCACGCCCAGTACCGAGGGACACCGGTGCGTTCCGTAGGAGATCCCGGAGTCCCTCCAAACGTACAGAAGGTGGCCACCGAGGGGGTTTTAGTGGGTAAGAACCCCACATAACCCTGTCACAGGGTATCTTACGAAGATTTCCCCCCCATACCAAAAAAAAAAAAGAAAGAAAAAAAAAAGGTATACTATGTTGACCTGCATCGTTGAGTATGCGATAAAACGCAATCACTAATTTCATAAGCCAATAACAGGATTAGAACTCAGGTTCATTCTCTAAAAATTAGTCAAAACTATTAAACATGTGTACCTAATCCTAATGTGAACTTAATCCTAATCTGAACCTTTATCGGAAAACGGAAACTGGCTATTGTATAGTTCATTCTGCTTTTTCTGCAATATAACAATTATGTTCAAAATTTCAAATTCAATCAAATCATCATCAAAATCTTTATTCAATATAGAAGCATCACACCTACTTATTGATTCTCAGAAAACACTACTATCGGTTCAGGAAAAAAGCCCGTGACCTGAAAACAGGCGAAAGAAACTCAGCGGGACAATTTTTTAACATAATTTTAGAGAACAATAACAAACATGTACCTACAATATGACGACCCGAATGGCGTAATGGGTAGTGAACCTGCCTCCTGCGTTAGAGGGTGTGGGTTCGATCCCCACTACTGGAAAAATATTGTGTGATGAACGTAGTGTTTTTCTAGTGTCTGGAGTTTATTTAGAAAATATAAGTATATTTAAGTATGTTTATCAGTTTCTAGTACACATAGTACAAGCTGTGGTTAGTTTGGGACTAGAGAACGTTTTGTAAAAATGTGTCCTAAAATATATTAAATTACATTTGAAAGAGCCTGGAGCGATCAATTCATTTCCAGAGTGTGTTATCATTTAGTAAATAATCGCTGATACTATAATAGACTTTAACACACAAACGTATATGAAATACTTACCTATATATTTAAATTTATTAGTGAATGATTCAGTAGCGCAGCTACCAAGCTATTGGCTTGAGCGTGCGCTGGGGATCGTAGGTGGGGAACATTAAGGGTTCCGTACCATTATCTATCACAACGGCAAAAAGTCATGTCTTTTATATGGGAGCCCCACTTAAATATTTTTTATTCTGTTTTTTAGTATTTGGTGTTATAACGCCAACAGAAATACATCATCTGTGAAATTTTTAACTGTCTATTAACTATCACAGTTCATGAGATACAGCCTGGTGACAGACGGACAGACAGACACACGGACAGACAGACTGACAGCGGAGTCTTAGAAATAGGGTTTTACCCTTTGGGTACGGAACCCCAAAATGCAGCTAATATCATTAATTATGTAGCTAATACCAACATCATTCACTTTTGCAAATAAGTAATATTATAAGCAGTGGTGGGTTCATTTCTGAGATGTTCAGTAATTTCTAATTGTTGGATTTCTTCGAATCTATTGTTGTATTTTTATCAGTTGGCTCAAGTGAATTTTCATAAAAAGTAATAAAAACTGTTTCTAATTACATCTACATAAATGATGTTAGAATGTTATACGTAAAAGAAGACACTTCTTGATTGTTCTTAAAAGGTATAACAACTGGGACTTGCTGTACGTTTTTGATTTGCGCCGCTGTACACTTCTACTCTCGATGGCCTGTTGGCTTTTACGTTTGTGGGGCAACACAAATTGTATGGTCGACTGTTTGGGTGCTTGCCGTGAGTGATTCGCCAAGGAAACATTCTTGTATATCTAAAGAAGAACTCGAATATCTAACAAGCACAATTGACAATGTGTTTACAATTAAAGTGAGTGCTCGATTTAATCGTTCAGTTATAAATTTTAGAAATCAAAATTGTACTTTCGAAATATATTCGAGCCTGCTGCGGAGTTCCACTTTCGTACAACGCGATCAATCTTATAATTCCTTTGATACCATATCGATCAGTTTCCAGCCCAATACTGTGCACTTTCCGAGAAATTTTCTGCCATGCGAAACCACTTTATAAAGCCTGCCGAGAGTCAGCCAACACCACCTAAAAGGGCAGTAACAAACCTCTTAGCGTCCATATCCATTTGTCTATGGGTGGCGATGATTGCTTAAATACTTCCTATCAAGTGCAAACTCATTGCCACCCCTAGGATATAAAATGAATCTAAACCATACCTAAAGCTCCTCGTGTTTATCAAAGGATGGACCGGAAAATCAATAAAACATTTTGTTCTACAAACATATCGTTGCAGTGTTCGTAAATTTTTTTCCAACAGCTATTGACAGGCATGCAATTAAACGTGTGTTTTGATAAGTTCTAATGCATTGAACAGTAAATTTAGAATTGGCACAGTTGTTTTTAATGCATTTAATAATGGCACGTGATTTATACGAGTAAATCACTTGTCATAAAACAAGTGCGAAAGCCCTCTTGGAATCAACAATAAATCTTCAATATTTTTAAAAATTTCTATTAAGTATTACTATAGAAAAGTCGTAACTCTTAGTATATGTAAAATTTTTGGTTATGTAAAATACCATATGTGATGTTCACATATGAAACGATTTTACAAAATTCAGTTTAAAGTAAAGGTTCACACAGTATTTACTGCACGTATGGTACAATGTTTAAAGTTGGCACCATTTCAACATGTATCAAGTATTGGCTGAATGATCCCGCAATCCAAAACAAGATCCAAATTATGGAAGCCACATATTTAGTTTTGTTGTTCCAAGTCTGGGTCTATTTTGTGTAATTTCATGTTTGTGAAACCCCAAAAGCGTTTGTATAAATTAGTAAAAAAGCATATATTTCCAGTTAACAAACTCTCAAGCTCCATGGAAAATGATTTTACAATCAACATCGTTCTGGGCCTTGTGTATTTTAAATTTTGGGTACTCTTGGACAATAATTTCGCTGTGTTTACATGGACCGCTTTTTTATACGCGGGTTCTTGGATACACCATCTACGAGGTGTGTAATCTTTCTATTTTTGATGCTATGTACCTTTCTTCTAATTATAATTTAAAACTTTCCCTTTACAGGCCTCGTCATTAACAGCGTTACCTTTTCTACTCAGACTAATATTAGGTACAATAATAATACAAACATTTTATTGGTACAAGCATAACGACCAAGTCAAAAGAATTAAATATATCAGAAAATATTTCATATTTGTGTGTAAGTACACATTGTACGCAGAAGGGAATTTAACAAGCATAAATTATTACATAAAACAAATAAACACCGACTGCATTAATAATACTATTCCTCTCTATTTATTTGTCCCACTCTATAATTATTTCACTCCCACAAATAAGATGAATCAAATGACAACATATTTTACAATCCGTCAAAACGTTTAGAATGTTGAGCGTTCCAAATAATTTGATTTCATCCTTGCTTACGCGCACAGTGAAATCAAGGTACACCGCTCCCAGGTGGTTCACACCGCTCCCAGCTTCCATCAACAATACTAACTTTGTAAATGCATGTCCAAATGCGTGACTTTTTTATGTGAAAAGTTGTCAAACGTGCTCGCAATTCACCTGATGTTAAGTGATTACCGCCTCCCATAGACATCTAAAACACCCGATAGGTTGTAGATGAGTTGCGCATAAAAAAATTGGCCCGGCCCGGCTGTCTGACTCACAACAAAGTATTATATTTCACGACTTATTATCTATGAGCCCCTGGTACTTCCGCGGACGAGCCTGACCAGGTAGGGTCATCATGCTCATGGAAACGTAGCCTTTCCACGAGATTTGTACCCGATGAAGTTTTATATAGTCTACGGATTGATAGCGCCAACTTCTACCATGACAAGAGAAGGCAGGAAAAATTTGAAATACATAACATAAATACACTCGAAGCCCTGCTTCTGCAGTCAGGTAAAAAGTATTTCACAAATAATCTCTGTCTGTTTAAATTTTGAACTTGTTTTCAGCTCACGTAATTCCTGGAGTTTTAGTATCGTCATTATGGTTGTTCCATGCTATGCCAGGCCCAATTATATTGACTTTAGCTGTAGCATTAACCGCGGCTGGTATGGACCTTACTTTTGATATTTGTTACGTGAGTAATTTTGAATATTTGAAAGTGCTGATCGATGGAGAAGTTGTTGAATATTTAAGAAACTCGAGTTTCGAGTTTCTTAATATACAACTTTACAGAATTGAATGAATCGTCAATGAGTATATATTATATAATTACGCATATATTATAGGTAGTTATTAATTTAGCGCATTATGGTCAGGTAGTGATAACAAATTTCAATGTAATAATTTTAAGTAAAGCGCCTCTACACTTTTCCAAAAAATTTTACTTTT